AATGGATAAAAGCACGGAGCATCAACATTCAAACAACATGAGCGCGACACTCACCGCTGCACTAATAACCTGTAAATAATTAAATACATCATGCTGGATCAGCAGCCTGTGGTGACGCCTGCTTCTGCTCGCTAATAGGAGCAGCTTCAGAAATTAAACCTATAAATATAATAATTAATTAAAATTAATCGAACCAAGCTCACTGAACCGAACCGAATATGGTTCTAGCGTACCGTTACACCCTTCATGATATGTGCTGATATCCTATCGGGTTGATATCTGTATCGGTCGATACTGAAGGTATCGTATCGGAAGTGAAAAGGGACATCCGTAGCGTTCACGTGCAGCGGAAAGGAGGGGGCGCATGAGTATGGAGCTAGGATTGGGACAAAATTCACTGTAACTTGTACCAAGTTTTGTAACTTGGTACAAGTTTCATGACAAGTAACTTTGGACTCGTAACTTGTAACTTTAGTTTTCTAACTTGTAATTCTCAGTTTGTACTTGTATTTCTTGTTTTGTAACAGGACATTTTCATTTTGTACATGTATTTTTTATTTTGTAAAATCAGACTTTTATTTTGTACATTACGGTACATTTCGACTACTGTTCTTGAAATATCGTAATTCTATTCTCAGTACTTGAGTACACAAAACAGAACAACATATCTTCTTACGTTCGTAATCTTGTTTGCCTCATGCTTCAGCAGTTTGTTGTAGTCAGTGTTATTAACTGAAAAATAATAAATAATTACTCGTCTTCACAATCACATTTTCTTTATTATTGGTCTCTCCATTTGTGCTTCCATTTCTGATGCATGCTCGTGTTGATACAGCAACCAGCAACTAATAATGTAAACAGTTTATAACCTATTTCAAACTCTGGGGAATATTTTTAAAACGTAGAATCAAACTAACTGAAACAAACCCGTCTACAGCTCGTCCTCCTGCTTACAACCAACAAGCTGCACACAGTTAGCTCATTAAAGGTTATCTAGCTAAAACTTGCAGCATAAAATATCACCGTTAGCTTATTTTGGCACGAAGCGGTTAGCTAGCGCTTCACAATGCAACAAAATTATGACATTTCATCAACTTACTGGAGAAAATCCTTCCGAAACACCGAAAATGAACTACGGCCGATGCAGCAGCGGGGCTGTTTGGAACTATTCGACGCTACATGAACCACGTGACTTCCCCTTTCCATAGGAGCCTATTGGACTGTCGTAACTCTCTCTACAGCTCTGACAGAACCCTGCCCTCCTCTCCCAGTGATTGGACAGGAATTCAAGAAACGTGATTGGTAGCTAAGACTCGTGCTTTCATTGGTTCCACCCAAGTTCCTCCCACCGACACTAGAACTGATACAAAATGATCCGTAACACTGTAGATTTGAGGTTAGTACCTGTAGAATGAAATGTGTGTTTTGAGAGTTTTGATTTCAAACTTGTACCTTGATTTTTTTATTTTGGAAGTCTGCTAGGTAAAACCCGAAAGTTTCATGTTTCTGAATGAATGTTTGATGTTGCAAAATGAAAATTTCCTGTTACAAAACAAGAAATACAAGTACAAGTTGAGAATTACAAGTTAGAAAACTAAAGTTAAAAGTTACGAATTCAAAGTTACATGTCATGAAACATGTTCCAAGTTACAAAACTTGGTACAAGTTACATTGAATATTGTCCCAATCCTAGCTCCATACATGAGGAGATTTGGACTTGGGCTTTTCTTTGAGCAGATAGAGGTCCTCAAGTTTACTTTACTGAAAAATAATTTTGTGGCCAGACTGTGTGTTCACATCAATATTATCTAGGATGGTCTGCCAGCCTAGGACGTCTCAGCTCCTGAGTTAAAGGAGGGTCAGAACCGTTTGTGTGACGCTGGCGCCTCCTGCTGGAGCTGCAGCAGAACACACGGTCATTTTTCAGGTTTCTGAAAGAAACATCTTTTAGTCAGAACGAATGAGTCCTCTAAACACACACACACACACACACACACACACACACACACACACACACACACACACACACACACACACACACACACACACACACACACACACACACACACACACCTCTACTTACTGTTGCCAGCTGTTTCCCACCAGCACCTCACACGTGTCTCTGTGTCTCGTCCTAGTTCCCGTCTAACGGCAGTAACCAGATCCACATCCCGGCTCTGAGCGTGGACGGCCTCTCCACCCCCGTGGTTTTGTCCCCCGGCCCCCAGAAGCCTTGACTCTCCAGCCCCCCCCCCCTTCACCCAGCCCCTCAGTGGGCGGTTTCACCTGATGAGCCTCCTCCATCCCTGGAGGTTTGGAGCAGAACCGGTTCTGGTGCTGATGCTATGCAGTCTGACTGCAGGAGACTTGGACGACGAAGACGCTGCGCAGACAGCAGATGGACGTCCTTCATGCTCCCTAAGCCCCACCCCCTTAGCTTGATTACAGGGGATGTTGGGAAACCCGGTGCTCCTCTTGACTCTGAAGCATCTTGACTGGTTGGTACGTAACCATGACAACGGTGTGGAAACACTAAAGCAGAAGAAGAGCTGAAAGGGTTTTCCTCGTCTGGTTTTATTTATTCTGTTTCCTGGCGTCGCCGCGGGTTCCTGTGAGGATTTTCCTGCTGGATTCCCTCATCGAGACTTTCTCTGAGCCGCTGGATGGTTTTAGTTGGGCTCCGATTGGCTGGTTTTAGGCCACACCTTTTATTGATTCGAGTGACTGTTGATGATGGAGAATCTTCTGAGCCACGTTTTCCTCCCTAAATGCCGCTGAGGCGAAGATCCCGTCACATTCCTCTGACTGCAGCGTTCCTGTTTTCATCCGAACATTCCGAACAAGCGTGTAAATATTCACCTGCTTTTGTCACTGGAAGCTTCATTTGCTTCAGTCGTGTTGCCACAAGTTCTGTTGTTCCAGCCCGGCTCTGTTGTTTCAGCCCGGTTCTGTTGTTCCAGCCCGGTTCTGTTGTTTCACTCATGTTCTGTTGTTTCAGCCCGGTTCTGTTGTTCCAGCCCGGTTCTGTTGTTTCAGCCCGGCTCTGTTGTTCCAGCCCGGTTCTGTTGTTTCAGCCCGGTTCTGTTGTTCCAGCCCGGTTCTGTTGTTTTAGCCCGGTTCTGTTGTTCCAGCCCGGTTCTTTTGTTTCAGCCCGGTTCTGTTGTTGCAGCCCGGTTCTTTTGTTTCAGCCTGGCTCTGTTGTTTCATCCCGGTTCTGTTGTTCCAGCCCGGTTCTGTTGTTCCAGCCCAGTTCTTTTGTTTCAGCTCGGTTCTGTTGTTCCAGCCCGGTTCTGTTGTTGCAGCCCGGTTCTTTTGTTTCAGCCTGGCTCTGTTGTTTCATCCCGGTTCTGTTGTTCCAGCCCGGTTCTGTTGTTCCAGCCCGGTTCTTTTGTTTCAGCTCGGTTCTGTTGTTCCAGCCCGGTTCTGTTGTTGCAGCCCGGTTCTTTTGTTTCAGCCTGGCTCTTTTGTTCCAGCCCGGTTCTGTTGTTCCAGCCCGGTTCTTTTGTTTCAGCCCGGTTCTGTTGTTCCAGCCCAATTCTGTTGTTTTAGCCTGGTTCTGTTGTCCCAGCCCGGTTCTGTTGTCCTGTGGAGTTTTGATTGTTTTAGCCCCGTTAGGTTGTCATGGCAACATAATGAGCCACCGCCTGCCTCAGATTCTGTTCCTGAAGTAGATAATCGTGTCTGGACTGGGATCAGAACTGGTCCAAGCTCCTGGTTATTAAATGTTGGTTCTGCCCAGCTGGACCGGGTTTCAGCCCTGAGAAACTCTAAGATCTGAGCTAGTTTGGGGTCAGTGAACTCACCGTCACTAGGCTGCTAATGGCAGGTGTGTAGTTCTGAGTGGGCTCTGGTTCCATCAGAACCATAAACCCGATCCTGTTTTTGTTTAGACCAGACGAGTTGAAGGTTGTTTATAGTCGGACTAGTGAACCGGACTGAAGTCGGAACGTTTTGGACTCTCAGAACCAGCTGGCTCCGCCTCCTGCCCGACTGCTTCGGTGACTCGTGCGGATGTTGGTGAAAACGCCGGTGCAGCATGCGAGGATGCCTGAAACCTTTTACTCTGACTCCGATCAGCACCGGTGTCGTAGAAGTTCTGCTTCTATGGAGCAGCTGACCCAAAGACAGCCAGCTCATTGGTTCATCACGTTAAGTGTGCTGTAGAGATGGATGTTTGCTGGTTTGAATCCCAGCAGCAGGAGTTTTCCTGGCCCTGAGACAATCAGAAGCTCTGATTCCTGTTAGACGGAAACTTGTGGCAACACGAGGAACCCGGAATGTGCTGCGGACCAAACCCTGAGCGATCTGGGCCCCGTGGTCCCAAACAGACTGTTCTTCTCCCTGGTGATGCTGTGGTTGCCGCGGTGACCTGACCTGACTGTTGCTGATGTGGTTGTTGATGCTGCTGTTGTGAACGTGCTTGTGCCCAGCGGCGCTGTCGGACTGTTCTCTCCTTTACAGCATGAATATTTTTCTATGGCGAGTTATCCAAGTCTTGAAGTTTTCGGATGTTTTCTACGGATTCTTCGGCTCCGTGCGTCTTTCAGAGCATGACCAAGGTCCACAAGCCATTTCCTGTTTAACGTTTCTCTCACCAGCAGAACATTACGAATGTCTCCACGCGGACCGGTGCCGCCGCTCTGGTCTGTCCACACGTCGCTGCCGCTGCGCTGCAGGCTGACGTCCGAGCGAATCAGCAGAAACTCGAGCTCCGCTCCGGCCCGGTTCTACTGTCAGCCCGGTTCAACCCGGTGTCCTCAGCTGAACCACAAGGCCTCTTACTCAAGGGATGAGCCCGGGTTGAAACCAGATCTTTAGTCTGTTTGGTACCGGCAGCCCGTCGCAGAGGCTCGTTGTGGTTCTGATTCACCGGAAAACCCAGTCTGACAGGAACCAGGAGGGAGGCTGAGGGAGGGGGCGGAGCTTCAGGTGGAAAGAAGCCCCTCAGAATGTGAGTGAGTCTTAAAAGCGCTGAATCGCTCTCACAGATTTGCTTAGTCATGCTTCAGGTGACATCAGGCGACGGCTCAAAGCAGCGTCTGAGTTTTAGGAACGCTGACGTCTTCACCTGTTTTCGTTTTCGTGAGTCGGAGGTGTTCGGATCCACCCGGTGGAGCTAAAGCAGATCTTTCCTGATGTTGGGAAACATCTGGTGTTCTGGAGCTTCCTGTTTAATGAGGGAAGCCCCACCCCCTTCTGTGAGTGCTCATGGTTCAGCAGCATGAGGGGTGGAGCCAAGAGCTATACAGGTCATTTGATTGGTCACCACCTGCTTAAGGTTTGCTGTGATGCAATGTGAGCGGTGACCTCTGACCTGTTAGTGGGCAGCTCCCATGATGCTTTGCATCAGACAGGAAGCTCCAGAACCTTCTCTGTACATACATGTTATCAACCCGAGCTCCACGTAACCCGATCTAATCGGTACTTTTCTGTCATTGCTCCTCACAGCCAGTGTGGCCCCGCCCCTCCTCGGTCATGATTGGCCTTGAGGTTGATTGATGTTAGGGGCGGGGCCTGCTTTATTTTTCGGGGACAGAGGTCTAAATGTTCAACGTTGTTTACTGGAACCTTAAAAAGAAAATATTTTTATGGATATCTGATTTTGTTGATGTAAATGTTGTTTTCTACGACCTGACGCTCGCACTGGGATGACCCAAATAAAAGCGTACCCATCCAAACCACTGGCATCTCCTCTGTTCACACGTTCCACCGCGGTTCAGGCACGCTTCTCTGTTCCACCACCAGATGAACCGGAAGTCCTCCACTTCCACACCTGATGTCCTCTTCCAGAGCAGGATATCAGGGCTTGGACACGTGAACCTGGAGGCTCCAGATCTCACCGATGTGGTTCTGTTAGTCTCACGAATCAGAACACAGGAGAACCGCCAACCCCTGTGTAGGTGGATTACACAGGATGTGTGTGTGTGTGTGTGTGTGTGTGTTTATAAGTTAAAAACAATCCCCTGCTTCTAAAATCCTGTTTAATCTGGATTAAGACTTTAGTAAACATCCTCATCAGTTGTTTGTGTGTGTGTGTGTGTGTGTGTGTGTGTGTGTGTGTGTGGGTGGGGGGGGTTTAAACCCAGGTCTTATTCATGATGAGGTCACGTAAACATTGTTCTGGTTCCTGGTCCCGTTTGGATCAGATCTCGTGGTCTGAAGATGTTTGGAAATAGAAAAGTAGCACAAAGGGGATTAAAGTCGCCATGACAACCGGCACAACAGTGGGCAGAGGTCATCAGACCCCAAGTGTCCAGCCTGGAATATTGAGAGCTTCTTCATCGTTCCTACCCTGGCCATCTGGATCTTCATCATAGCAATCTCCTGTTTACACGCAGTCACATGGTCTCCTTCAGGAGACGAGACCTTCCTGCTCTCAACTCTAATAAATAATCTTAGATTTGTCTCATAAAATCAGACAAATGAATTACCAGCTGTTGGGGAATCAAACCAGATTTTTCTGAGGAATAATTTTAGCGGCATGAGAACTTTTTTTTCAGCATCGACCAATTATTTTTGTTTAATCTGCAAAACGACCCATCAGATATAAAACGGTCCACCTGAAGCCACCCAGAAGGCATCTGAGGGGGCCTACGACCCCCCCACTCACCGGCTTGCCGACCAGATCCCCGAGAACGTCCGCTGCACTGGTGCGCAGGCTCTGCTCCGGAGCTGGATGGGTTAAGACTTCCCATCGGTTATTGAAGGTTCAATATTATTGATAATTGGTATTTTTATGGAATATTACATTCCATTGAAAACGTTTATATTTTCTTGACAATTTATTAAAAGTAACCCCTCAGAAAACAGAAATATGAAGTTTCTAAGATGGATTTTAATGAAAACGTTTTAAAAAATCAAGATTAAGGTCTCTGGAGGTCTCTGACGTCACAGATCGATGCTGTCAGGTAGCTCATCTTCAGATTCTGACTCATGTTTACTGGACATCATGATGATTGATGATGTCATCAGTTCCCGCTCTCCCAGCAGAAACAGGAAGTGGATTTCATTTGCTCCACATGAGGAAATAAATGTAATTCTTCCTCTTTGGATGTTTTATGTCACATTTTATCTGATGTTTTATATTATTGCTGCGTTCTGCACCTTGGGCGTCCGCTTCCGTCGATATGGTTCTGGTTCTGGTTCTGGTTTAGTTCTGAGCCGTTTCTGTTTTCAGGTAAACAGCCGATCGTCAGAATCAAACTTCCGGCTCTTCATCATCACACGCGCGGCTTGTTTGCCTTGTTCACGCGGGCGCGTGCCCACATCGACGCCCTCATAGGGACAGAAGATCACGATGAAGTCATCATCCTGTGAATCTGGAGCATTACGTCATGGCCTTACACGGCCCCTACTCGCGCGCTCAGCATCCGAGCCTGCTGATTGGTTTATCATCCAGATGCTCGCGATGCTCATTGGCTGATATCTGGTAAGCTGCTGCGGACCTGACAGAGAACAGGAGGGAGGGATGCTCCAGATAAAAGCGGCGGCAGCATCCCTCTCGGAGCCAGTCCTAATCAACGGAACCGGAGAACCCAACAGAATCCGCATCACGGTTCTGCGTTCTTGCGGGCGGCTCGGAGCTTCGGGAAGCAGGTGAGAGGTGCGGGACACGCGGAAAGGTCGCAGTGCGGCGCCGCGCGGTGGAGAGGTCGCGCGGGACTGGGAGGATGGTGATGATGGTGGCGGTGAAGCCAGCTGCTGTAAGGGTTCGGTGTGTTCGCCCAGATGTGGACTGATGTTACCTTCACTCTGATCGACTCAGTAGCGCCTCCCAGTGCGCATGCACAGCGGACCTGCAGCAGGTCCAGGTCCAGACCAGACCAACAGAACCGGACAGTGAAGCTTTTGGGTTTTACTGGTTTTACTCTAGATTCCCCTGGTGCGTTCAGGTGCTGATGGGAAATCACAACGTCCGATTTAGGTGAAATGTTTAGGTTTTATTCGGTTTTTGGTTAAAGGAAGTGTTTAGCTCAACATCCACTCTGACGTCAGAGATCACCTGACTCAACAGGCACGTGTTTCTGATGCTAAAGGACAGTCAACCTGAGCCCAGGTGTTTGATCCAGATGTTTGAGTCGCTTCAGCCCGGATTTTGAGTCTGCTGTGACATCAGAGCACCACTCATCCAGTGATCCGTTTGGGTTTGTGGGTTCTGTTACATCACAGAACCGGACCTCTATACCGGTTTCACTTCAGACACCACGATGCGTTCACTGACTGCCAGAAACTCCTGTAAAACTCTGATCAACAGTTTTCAGTTTCAGCTGACAGACAGTTCTTCTGATTCTCTGACCCATTTGGGTGAATGAGTCCAGAGGTTCTGATATCCGCATCTGACTTCCTGTTGGTTTCTCCCTTCCCCCGGGATGATCCCAGGTCAGATGTTTAGGACCTGACTTACAACAGGATGGAGAGAAGTCCGGATCGGTTCTGGTTTTGGTTTTAGTATTGGGTTTGTTCGTGTTCAGCACCAGGCGGCGGATCTAAAACTGATCTGAGGTCAGAATTCGAGCTGCCTCTTGATCCATGACAAACTCAGACCCCGGCATCACTCGCTCCTCCTCCACCTCCCTCTGCCTGAGTAGGAGACCCAGAAGGAGGAGGAGCTGGCTGGATCTTGTGTAATGGGTTCTTGAGTGAAACTGGGTCACTGAGTTTCTCCTCACCAGCTGGTTTCCACGGTAACTTGGACTTGGCTTTATGTAACTACTTGGTTGAGATGCTGCAGCGACTCACCCTCCTGACCTCCTCTAGTCTGGTCTTCATCAGAAGTCCTCCTGAAGGATCTCGTTTGGACTTTGGTTCCAGCTCTCTAGATAAACCAGGTCAGAGTTCAGCTGAAGGATGTGGAAAATCTGAAACGTTGAACATTCTGTTTGTGTTCAGATTCATCTGCACCTTCATCCTCCTCCTGACAGAGAAGTGCATCATGGGATCTGTAGTCCTGCTGGTCTTCGCTCTGTTGACATCATCAGTGTGTGCTGGGGTGGGCGTCATGAAGCTAGGTAAGCACTGTTTGTGTTTGAAAGCAGGTGAACACCAGATCAGTATGTCATAAACAAATGTGTGTGTGTGTGTGATCTCTAGGAGGCGGAGCATCCTGTCCTCTGCAGTGTGTGTGTGAGACTCGACCCTGGTACACACCTCAGTCAGTCTACCACCAGGCCAGTACGGTGGATTGTAACGAACTCCACCTGCAGAGAGTCCCTGCAAACGTCTCAGCTGACACACAGGTAATGCCTTACTAATGTAATGATTTTAGATTACATGTTATTTAATAAGCCATAAGACAAGATTCCATAGGAAATATGAAATCAGCCTTATGGATCCGTTGGGTTATTTTAACCAGAAGATTGGAACTTTTTATTGCAGGGATTAGATAACAGCTTCGTATTCACTCAGAGACACCAGAAGAGAGAGTCAGGTTTAGAAGTTTAAAGATTTATTATTAAACAAATTAAAACTAGACTAACTTTAACACTAAATGTATGGTGTAACTAAGGTGAATGAGACGGAGAATGGTGTGATGTGGAATGTTGTTCAGAACCAGCAAATCTGAAGAAACGATTAGTTCTGATGGGAAATGAAGGTGATGTCTTCGCTCTAAGCTTTGGTTAGGAGATTCATAAATACATGAGACACCATGTTATTGGTCTACGTACCCTTAGCGGAAGTCCCTGTCTAGATCAGGAGGTGTAAAGGTCCAGCTGGACCTTATGGAGCCGAAGCCTGTAGAAGCAGCCGCGGCAGCCGACCACCAGTCTTGAGATACTTCCGGGTCACGATGGTTTTGTTGGCGTCTAACAAGACCCACACCTGGGTCGTGATGGTTCAGCTTTTATTCTGAAAGGAACCGTTGCAGCAGGTGGAACAGCAACAGGTTTTATCCAGCTTGTCGTTGGTTCTTTCGGCTGAAGAGGAAAGTTACGGATTGGCCACTCCGACAACTTCTCTAGAACGCTTTGAACTGGCGTTAGAGATGACGTGGGCATAGTTTTATACTTCAGATGTTTTGGTTTATGGTCGAATGAAAAGATGACAGACGGTGGCACAGGAGTTAAGTGCTCGCTCCGTAATCGGAAGGTTGCAGGTTCGAGCACCGCTCAGTCTGTCGCTGTGTCCTTGGGCAAGACACTTAACCCACGTTGCCTGCTGGTGGTGGTCGGAGGGACCGGTGGCGACAACATGGCGTCTCATGTGTTTATGAAACTCTGATCATAGCTAAAAGCAAAACATCACTTCATCACTCAGACTTTCTTCTCCGGATACGAGAGTTCTGATTACAACATCACACACACACACACACACACACACACACACACACACACACACACCAATCTCACGTCTCATTCACACCAGATCCATTCATCATTTAGAGTTTAGAGTTAGTCTCGTTTAAAATTGTTTAGAAATAAATCTTCTTAAACGTTTTAAAGGTGACTCTCTCTTCTCTTGTCTCTGACTTAATACAAGTGTTACATAATCCCTGCAATAAAAAGTCCAATCTTCTGGTTAAAGTAACCCAACGGTTCGTAAGATTGAGTTCATATCCACTATGGAATCTTATGTCTCATGGGTCCATTAATTAGATGAACTCTTTTACTCTAAGGTAACGCCTTACTAAGGTAACGCCTTACTAAGGTAACGCCTTACTAAGGTAACGCCTTACTAAGGTAACGCCTTACTAAGGTAACGCCTTACTAAGGTAACGCCTTACTAAGGTAACGCCTTACTAAGGTAACGCCTTACTAAGGTAACGCCTTACTAAGGTAACGCCTTACTAAGGTAACGCCTTACTAAGGTAACGCCTTACTAAGGTAACACCTTACTAAGGTAACGCCTTACTAAGGTAACGCCTTACTAAGGTAACGCCTTACTAAGGTAACGCCTTACTAAGGTAACGCCCTCAGCAGGTATGTGTGTGTTTTGCTTCAGGTGCTGCTGCTGCAGAGCAACAACATCTCCTTCATCATGACCGAGCTGCAGAACCTGACCAACTTGACTGAGCTTGATCTGTCACAGAACCACTTCACACAGGTACCTCACCTGATGCTGCCTCATGGTTTTATTATCCTGGTTTCTCCACCATTTCACCTGCTCTATGTTTTCACCCAGGTGAGTTCCATGGGCCTGTCCTCTCTGGGACGTTTGGTGACTCTGTATCTAGAGGAGAACCTGATTGAAGAGTTGGAGGACTTCAGTCTGAGGAACCTTTCCAGTCTGGAAGAACTCTACATAAACCACAACCGGATCTCCTCCATTGGGCCCAGAGCCTTTGCCGGCCTCACAAACCTTCTGCGGTAATCTTCCGTAAAGGTTCCACCTGAGTTCTTTAGAACCACCATGACCATGAGCTCGTGTTGTTTCTGCTAACCTGTTGGTCCATCTTCAGGATGTTGGAAGGAAACTTTTATCTTTCTTAAACACGTTGTTTAATTAGGATGTTGCTCTTTGTAGCTCCGCCCCCTGGACTAAAGAACCATGCTGATGACGATTAACAAAACACCTCATTATTGATGTAAACTGGCCTGTGGTGACACCTTTATGTTCCTTCTTTGGTCTCTCAGACTCCATCTGAACTCCAACCGCCTGGTAGCCATCGACAGTCGTTGGTTTGAGTCCCTGCCATCTCTGGAGATCCTGATGATTGGAGAGAACCCCATTCTGGGTCTGGAGGAGAAGAACTTCCTGCCTCTGTGTCGCCTCCACAGCCTGGTTCTGGCTGGAATGGGTCTGATCTCCGTCCCCTCTGCTGCCTTCATTGGCCTCGACAGCCTGGAGAGTCTCTCTTTCTACGACAACCGGCTCAGGTGAGTCTGTGAGGACAGTCGTACTCCAGCAGGTTACAGGTAACTACAGTAAGGAGCCTTTGTGCGCCCTGCAGGTCTGTTCCTCGGGATGCTCTGAGCGTTCTCCCAAACCTGAAGTTCCTTGACCTGAACAGGAACCCCATCAGTCGGATCCAGCAGGGAGATTTTCAGAACCTTCAACACTTGGAGGAGCTCAGGTGAGTCTAGGGTCCGAAACTAAAGTCAAAATGAAGGTCGTTATGATCCTAAATGATTGTCTTTGGACTTTATTGAGATTTGGGTCCATCCACATGACTTCAGATATGATTTATGTTACTGTTCATGAACAATTCTTCATCCATGACAACACCTGAAACACCTCCAGCCACCACTAGAGGGCACACACCAACACCATCAAAGTACGGAGACATCTTCAAAGGTTCCCCAGATGTTCTTTATATAGAACTGTTAATGATGTCATCACTTCAGTAGGTAATTCACTCGTCTGCTGCCCCGCCTATTACTCATTATGGTCAGGGAGCGGTCACCAGGTTAGGGGCGGGGCTACACCTTTCCTGGTCTTTCTTTGTGTCCGGCTCCAGTTTGAACAACATGGAGGAGCTGCTGATGGTGGAACAGGGAGCTTTCCAGAACATTCCAGAAATGGCCAAACTGGAGCTGTGCAACAATCCTCGGTTGTCCTACATCGACCCGCAGGCCTTCAGGTGACGACTGATACCTTCCGCCAGGTGTTGTTTTATTTTCAGAACTTAACGTTTTCCTTCCTGACGTCTTTGATCTTGTTTCTTTCTCCGCTCTCCTCAGTGGCTTGTCCTCCCTCCGGACTCTCGTCCTCCACAATAACCAGCTGAGCCTCCTGTCCAGCGACCTCCTCTCCTCCCTCCCCTCTCTAGAGGAGGTGTCTCTGCACTCCAACCCCCTGCGCTGTGACTGCCTCACCTCCTGGGGGCCTCATCTTGGCAACCAATCCCACCTTAAGCTGCTGGAGTCATTCATCACAGTCTGCTCCTCCCCCCCACACCTGATTGGTCGGGAGCTACAGGAGGTGGTAGCAGGCGGATGGGGCGGGGGTGGAGCCAACAGCTGCTTGCCTCACATCTCTCCTCACTCCTTCCCGCCAATCCTGAACATCAGCGAGGGACAGCCAATCACACTGGAGTGTTGGGCCGATGCCGACCCCGCCCCTCAGTTTTACTGGGTGACACCGACAGGACACAAGGTGGGCGTGGTTATGTGGTTGTTGGGTGAGGTGGGTGTGGCTGCAGGTGTGAAACTTTATTTTCAGCTCTCATTCCTTCGCGCGGCGCCACCTGAAGGTCTGGTAAACTCCTACACGCACACAAACCTCCAGACTGGCTTTTATCATGTCATCTGGAGTCCATCAATGCACAAAGAGACTAGAGGACATCTCAGCTGGCTGCTGGTCCTCCCTGAAGAGGACCCTACGGTCCTCTGGGCCAGATGCTGGTGAGCTGAAACTAAAAGCAGAACTTCTGAGACTGTCGGAATGAAACCTGGTGCCAGACTGAAGTCGTCTCCGTGTGTTCGGAGATGTCTTAACCGTTAGTAAAAGTAAAAATGGAGTTTGTTTGAATCTGTAACTTCTGATTCCCACTCAGGTGAGCTCTGAGGGGGTGGCGGCTCCCGTCGCGTCAGAACAGGGGCGTGGCCTGAACCGGAGGACCAAGCACCGGATGTTAGAACCAGGAGCTTTGGTGATGGAACACGTGGAGATGTGCGACACAGGTCAGTCTGAGCTGCTACTCTGGTTTCAGCTTCGTCAGAACTGGATTTAATCTGAACGCAGCTCCTCTGCAGGTGTGTACACCTGTGTGGCCTGGAACGCGGAAGGAGCAGACACCAGGAGTGTCTCTGTCTCCGTGGAGCCTCAGGGTTCTGCCGGGTCTTGGCAGAGGGGCGCCGAGTCCAGGAGAGAAGAGCTTCTGTCGGGGAACTGGTCCAGCTCCTCTCTGGTGGTCGTCGCTAAGGTGCGGTCAGACCCACGGAGCTTTCGGGCAGACCAGTTAGCTCTGCACCAGCTTATCTTCTGTCTCCTCTGGCTTCCTGTCCAGGTGGTGCATGCCCAGTCGGTGGTGTTGGAGTGGAGGTTGTACCCCTCCAGAGAAGCTTCAGCTGCAGGTCGGGACCAGCCTTTTCCCCAGTGGACCAGAGCTAGTGTGCACATCAACAACTCTCAGATCAGTTACACCTCCGAGGTGAGAACATCCAGCAGGCCGCCTCCAGAAAGACCCGGAGATCTTCAGAAGGTCCTAACCCTCCGGCCTCTGGCTCGTGTCTCCCTGCAGGTCCCGGCTGATGTTCAGGAATACAATCTGACTCACCTCCTTCCTGCCACAGAGTACCACGTCTGCCTCACCATCTCCTCCTCCCCCACCTCCCGCCCTCGGTCCCCTCCCATTCACACCTCCTGCCTGAATGTCACCACCAAGGAGGTGGGGTTCTCTGTGGAGCTGGTGGCGTCGCGGCGCAGCGGCGTGGCGCTGGCGGCCGTCATGTGCTCCGTGTTTGCTTTGTCCATCATGGTGCTGCTGGTGGCGTACGTGGGCCGCCGCGCGCAGCAGCACAAGACCTGTGGCCACTCCCTGAAGGTGTACATGCAGCACGCCATGTCCATCCCACTGAACGAGCTGTACCCACCACTCATCACGCTGTGGGAGAGCGAGGCAGAGAAGGACAAGGAGGAGAAGGAAGGAGAACGAGACGAGGAGGAGGCAGCAGGGAGTCAGATCAACACCAGCAAGACATACATGTGGTAGACGGAGGAGGAGGAGGAGCTGCCAAGTACAGGAACGGAAGTGAGGAGGTCCTGTGACTCTCTGATGAGCCTGACAGACAAAGGGTAAAACCCACAGGCTGCTGGGGGGCAAGGTTCTGTTACGAGCTCACCATCACAACCCTCATTGTCCTCATGGTGCTCCAGCAGAACTCAGACCTGCTGTCATGCCATCCCTTCCTCCACCTCCAGCAGCTCCTGAACCACCTCGTTGGATCTGTGAGTTCAGAATCGGACCTCTTTGGGTCGGATTGTTGTACTGAAGCAGCACAAGTGGAGTCTTTCACCACCCGTGTGGTCCGACGGGTTTGAGGTTCCTGCGTTTGGATCATGAAGCCGCTCCCAGAACCAGCTTAATGAGTTTTTCCATGAGAATAAAGATGGAGGGAAGAAGATTGACCACAGAGGAACCAGATGAAAGTGTCCTGTGAGAATGAGCAGGTGGAATAGGTTCCTGTGGTGTGAGAAGAACCACTTCCTGCTGACAGGAAGTCTCAGCTGTGTTTGTGATCTGATGACAGTTTAAACCCTTCAGATCCTCACGGGGTTTGATTCTCCAAGCAGCTTCACGTCTTCCAGTCGAGGGCTTGTCCCGTCAGAATCTGGACCTTCAGAACTCACCAGAATCGACTCACCATCCTCATCAGCAGCATAAACCGTCACTGACCTTCTCCAGGACCTCTGCATCAGTAGCATGTTTGGTCTCTTGACCGTCTCCGCTGCTCAGGTTTAGGACTGTCGGTATAAAACGTGCACGCCGTCAGGTCCACACCGATCTAGGTGCACATCCAGGTGCGTGGCTCCAGGTGCGTGGGTTCTACAGTTTGCAGGTTTTATCAGCCAGACTTTAGGTTTCTTTAGCTTCTCTTCAGGAACAAACATCCAAAGGTTTCTTCGGGCATTTTGAACAAACGTTCTCACGACGACGAAGTGGCGCTCCGCTTCCCGTTACTCTCAAAGGTTTCTGCTTTAACGTCCGAAGCTTTACTTTTATGATCTTTTTATGTCTTGGATCAGAAGCTGGTGAACCAGGAGCTGAAACGTCTGATCGACTCAGACTCCTTCTTGGAGATAAAGCTCAGCTGATTCGTTAGAAACCCACTCAGATGGTTCCCTGAGGATCATTGGGCTACCATGAGCACCACCCAGGGGTCGACTTTCAGGGTTCAGTACCCACCAGGGTTTAGGACACCCCCCCAGAAGCTTCTGATGTCACGTTTTATGGAGTTTGGCTGGTTTTCCTTCATGCGACGCCCCGCCAGAAGATCCAGGACGTCTTTAGGGAAACCAGAATCTTCTCATGTTTTCAGCCGGTTGGTCTTTTGGATATTTGATTCAGAAAAAGTAAGTAAAACACCAATCAGGTGTGGCAGGTGGTTGGGAGGGTCCTCATGTGGACTGTTGGTTCCCTTCGGTCCCTGTTCTGATCCGACTGGACCTGTCCGTGTTACAGAGGAACCAGAAATCTGTTCACGCCCCTTCAGCCTTTCTATATGCACTAAAGAAAGAAGAAAATCGTGTTTTATTCAGAGTCTTTGGACTTCTTCCGTCTGGTTCCTGGGGCGTTCTGCTACAGAACCTCGGACTGTTCTGGACACATGAACCGACCCGTTAGTCCGACCCAGAGCAGCATTTGTTTCTGTGCGCTGATGTTTAACCATCAGCAGGAAGTTCTCGGTTTTAGACTCGGATAAACCTTCATTACGGGCGCCCCCTGGTGGTAGAACCAGACACTCCCCTCCACCGCGGCCTCCTGATGCAGGGTATTTTTATAAAGCTTCACTAGTTAAACGATTGCTTATTCAACACCGAGCACCAACTGTAACTACAGGTGTGTGTGTGTGTGTGTGTGTGTGACTTCTTCTATAAAGACACTTTGTCCCTCCACAGCTGTCTGCTTTATTACTGAAACAACTCTGTTTTAAAAGGTTGTGCAGTTGGTAGCGGTGTGGCCTCGCAGCAAATGGGTTCAGGGTATCTGCAGGTTTATGGGAGCCTAATTTAAGACTTTTCAAGACCTTAATAAGGCCACTTTGACCAAATTTAAGCTATTTTTAAAATTAAATTTAAGCTAGAATTTCCAGCTATTGTCTGGAACCGGTGCTAACCACGACGCAAACGTGGGATTAGCCATCCAGTTACCATTAAACTTGCACTTCCCCGTGGCGCAAGCTCCCACTAGCTTAATCAGCTAATGTGTTCATCTAAAAATAGTCCCCTTTCACAACCAACTGAATGTGTACGGTTCCGCTTACGCCTACATCACACACAAAAAATGCTGAACACTAACTAGAAATTCACGAAAATTTGATAGAAATAAAATAATTTTGTTTATTGGGTCTTTGGTAATTTAAGACCTTTGGAAACTGTATTTAATGATTATTTGTCATTTTATAAGGATTTTTAGGGCCTTAAATTTGGAAAAGCTAATTTAAGACTTTTTAAGGACCCGCGGATACCCTGGGGTTGCAGGTTTAAATCCGACATTTGGAGGGCAGCACTAGGACTCTGGGGTTGTGACCATTTTGCAGATTCGGAGTAAGACCAAGCAGATACTTAAAGTCAAAGTCCACCATGAACATATGAGATTTTTGGAAGGTTGGACATGATGTTCCTACCAATTGAGAGTAACAAGCGTTAGACTTTTTCAGCTTTTAGCACCAGTTTCAGATTAAATGAGATGGTATCACCTCCAAAGCTGTCTGTAGAAACTTTAGAGTAACAGTGGGGGATGAACAGTAGATAATGGTGTTCTCTGCATACTAATAAAGAGCAGCACTATATACCTGATTATAGATGTTATCGTTATAAATGGTGAAAACAAGATGTCCAAGTATGGAGCCCTGGGGTACACCTTTCAACTCCAGGAGGAAGGAAGAGAGAGCCATCAAGCTAAACACATTATGTTCTAGTTGATAACTAATTAACAAACCAGTACTGTTAGTTACTAAGTGTTACAAACCTCCAGCTCATGCACCAAACTCCCCTTTTCCACAGATTCAAAGAGTAAACAGACACAAACATGGTTCTGACCTGTGTCAGAGAAGCTGAAGGTGGTTGGAAGTTTCGTTTTATTACTTTTTTAACAAAGGAGGTGAAAAAAAAATTCCCAGATTTCCATATAAAAGTAAACTTTACAAAAATGTAAATGAAATATTTCACACAGACTGAAGCGTACCCAGAAGAGTTAAAGAGGTAGTAACAAAATTAAAACCATGACAGAATAAATTAATCCGAACACAGATTACAGCTTCAACAACAACAGGACAGAAACAAAAACAAAGAAGACATACATCCTGTAACCTTTGTTACAGCTTCTTACTGAGATCTACTTAACCCTCCCACTGTCCTAATGGGTGTGACCCTGCAAGGAAAGTTGGCCATTGAGCAGGGTTGATGGTTTATCCCTTGGGTCCATGTGGCAGGGGTGAGGAGTGAGCACCACCTCACCCCTGCCACATGGACCTCAAGGGATAAACCATCAACCCTGCTCAGTGGTCAGCTTTCCTTGCGGGGTCACCCATAAAGACAGTGGGAGGGTTCTAGGTGTAAAGTGGTCTCTGGTAGGAACAAATGCCTTGTAAATCGTACTTGGCGGTGAAAAAAAGCTCAGATGCATCTGAATCAGGCGGTACAAATCAGCTGGAGAAGAAAGTAGCTTCAGACATTAGGGTTAGGGGTCAAGTTTCCTGATATTCAGACATCTCTCCTCTGATTGGCTAACAGCAACACATCTCTACCACTGACTCTGGTTGCTCTGCAACATTGATGTTTTATCTCCACAAATAACACAAGCCTGGAGGAGTTCTGCTGTGTGGTGGATTTGCTAATGCTAATGTTAGCTTCTGCTAGCAGAGACGTTCTCTGCGGTTTCCTGGACGCTAAACCAACAACAGCCTTCCCCGTTGTGAGTCCAGATGGGTGAGTCCATGAATGTTAGTGACAGTGTGACGTAGATCTGTTAGGATTTTCTAATCCTAGAGTTTCACCGTCTGTTTTCTATCAGAAGCTAATGCAGGAGATAGGTGTAGGAGACTATTTTCATGCTCAGCCTGCACGAAACACTCAGATTGACCCGTTAGAACCAGAAATAATCATTAAAAAAGATTTTTCAGTGAACTATACACCTTTAACTATTCATCTAATTTACACTCAAATGATTTTGTTTAGCTTCTGTTGGTTTTTTGCGCTTTGCTACAAATTATTTTAAGAGCAAATGCAACATCCTCAGAGTTAAACAAGGAATATTTAACTTCGTATTAAAATCGAGGCTTGGCAAATCAAAATATTCCTATTTAATGTCTAAAAGACCAAACACACGTGCTTGAGGAACTCCAGGACGAACCATGAACAAACCAGTTGAGATGGTTGTTGGGAACTAGCTTCTTATCATCTGGGAACAAAACATTAAACTTGCTCACAACTTTTTCATCAACCCTATAGTAACAACAGGTTTAGCAGAGCCTGAGAAATAAGGACAAACACGCATTAAAGTACTAAAACCCAATTATTCAGATTAAAAATCAAAACTTTCTATGAAAAACGCTGAAAATTAAAATATTCTGCTGCCTTCAAAGTGCTCCAGTTCTGCTTTTTTAAAGGCACACTTGGCAGTTTTGCTTGCTGTTATCTCCTCCTAGTGTTCGTTACCTCCTCGCGGTCAAACTGAACGCAAAACTTATCTCCTCGCTGTGCGATCGTCTCTTTAACACCTTAATCTAACAGCTGAAACGTCTCCCCAGCCTTCATTAGTGTCTGCAGGAGTATTTCATTGCCAAATTAAACAAGTAGGCTCTGTTCGTGATCTAAAACATGCAGAAAACGTGCTGGAACCAGACTGCAGGGCCGGGTTTTAGCAGCTGAATTTCTCCTGAGTCCCAGCAGAGTGGCCTGACCCCCCAGAGGGCGGTGGGGGTAGAGTTACTTTCCATTTTAGCACAAACTGGCGCAAGAAAATGATTTAAAAACTGAAAATGTTGCATAGTATGACTTTAACACAAAGTTAAAAAAGTCCAGCAGACAGATAACCTCACCTATTTAACAGGTCATGTGATCAAAAACAGCGACAATATAAAAACCTCAAGATGAAGAAGTTTTAACTCCGCATCTTTACTTCTGAGCTGGTTTATGGTGAGCAGCAACACCTGGATCACATCTGGATGTTTTAGAGCTTTTTTCCACTCATTTTCACTCAAAGCAGGTGATGATGAAGTTCCAGAGCCCATGACTGTAAGGTGTTTGGTCCCATGGGCGGTTGATGATCCACCAATCAGACGAAGAGCAAAACGCCTTTTACAACGAAATCATGGATTATTATTCTTATTCTACAAAAACCAAAAGTATGAGATGGAAACCTAAAAGGAAGAAGACCCAGCAGGCTTCCTTTGAGAGTAAAACAAAGTTCTGGTCTGAAAACGTTGGTCTCGCTTCAGCAGGAATCCTGTAAGGCCTGGAATATACTTGCTGCTTAAAATGGCTGCCTCGCGTAACGTGAGTTGATTTGAAGCGTCGTTTGTGCGTGTCCCCCAAATTTAATGCGAAGCATTCACACGCTACACTATACGAGTAACCGTAGGCGGAGTCTACCCTTCGAGTGAGACACACTCACCACGGTCACTCTGTGGTTTGGAGGCCGTTCATATTGTCTACGACAACGCTGACGTCTTTTCTTTCCTGCTGTGATCTCAATTTAACCGGTTACGGATCTCTTCTATTGACGCCAAGATTGTTTGGGTTGTACTCACAAAGCTGGGACCCAATCCAGTCTCGGTCCGCTACCGCGTCCCCTAGTGGAGTGCCAGCATGGGGTAAGCAAGTATATTCTGGCCGTAAGACTCCAGAAGGACTCTTTAGACTCTGATCTGATCCTTAATCCAGCCACGGAACTTGGTGATCCGGGTATAGATGCCTGGTTTGTTCTTGACGGCACAACCTTCGCCCCAACTAACCACGCCTGCCAGGAAGGCCCGCCCTTTTGAGTTTTTGATGGCCAGCGGCCCACCAGAGTCACCCTGTGGAGTTGGAGAACACAATACCAGGTCAGAACATCTTACAAATGTTGAAGAGCTTCATGAAGATGGTTTTGCTTCAACCTACTCAAGTCTAAAAGGAAAAGAACTCAGAAGCTAAAGCTTTTAGGAACCAACATGGCTCCCGAGGCTGGGTGCAGGAACATCCGGTCTGAGCTGCAGCTTGTGTCCTGTGGTCCTGAATAACGATCCCTCCATGACCCTGATCAACAGGATCAGGGGTGAGGGCCATCAGCTATCATCATGGAGACGTGAATGATTCAAAATGGATTTTAAAATGTTCTAAATCGCGTTTATGACTGGTGAGTAATAACAGAGGAAAAGTCGAGGAACAAAAAGCGTGGACCTCTGAAGTGAGGAGGTGTTGCGCCCGGACCGTTTATAGAGAGCACATAACAGGAAGCTCTGCCTGTGCGTTAGGCTTAGGGTACAGCACAGACGTGGACTGGCGCTGCCTATTGGAACTGGCGTACCAGCGAGCCGCCATCTTGGATGGGTCTCCATTCGCCCCAGTGCATTTATTTCTACTGAGAAAGGTGCTTACACAACTAAAAACACATTTTACTTTTCACAAAAATCAGACACATTGTACGGCATGGTAGTTAAAATATAAATATAATGAAATTAAATGAAAAAAATAAAAATTTAAAATCCCAACAGTCAGGATAGAAAAGTCAGTAGTAATCCCACTCGCTCCTGTCGTTGCAAATGAGGCTGCACAAAAAGCGGGCGTAGTTGCTCATCTGCGTTAACTCCAGTTGGGTTTGAGGAGTGTGGGATATATATATATATATATATACATACATATATATATATATATATATATATATATATATATATATATATATATATATGTATATAGGACTAAAAGGGAGGAAAATAACAAAAACTATGTTTTGTGTTAAAGTTATTAATTAGTATGATTAAAATGGCTCAAATTGCTTTGATATGTACAATAAATTCCAAAAGTATCAATAAAGTGACATTAAGACAGATATGGTGTGGTGATCCAAACAGTTCTGTTGTAGGATATAACTCAGACCTCCTGCTCTCCTCATTCTCACAGACATTTTCCCAAAAAGCTGTTTTTTTACACCTCCTAGTTCTCTGTTGTGTATTCTCTCCATCATGATAATAAAGTTAAAGTTAAAATCCCATTAGTTGTCACACACACAGGTGTGTGTGCGAAATTTGTTCTCCGCATTTGACCCATCCCCTGGGGGAGCGGTGAGCTGCAGACACAGCCGCACTCGGGAACTATTTGGTGGTTTAAACCCCCAATCCAACTCTTAATGCTGAGTGTCAAGCAGGGAGGCATTGGGTCCCATTTTTTCAAAGTCTTTGGTCTGACCCGACCAGGAATCGAACCCCTGATCTCCCAGTCTCAGGGCGGACACTCTACCACTAGGCCACTGAGAAAGGTGGCACCAAGCTAAAGGGAACGGGTGACTCATGGTATAACCATCCCTGTGTCTCTGAAGGAAATTCAGATGAGCCACAGAGCTGCGTGTGTAAACGGGACGGTAATGAAACTCCCGATGACTTTATTTGCCAAATGCAGGAAAAACCTAAATGTCAGACGGCTGCAGAACCAGAGATCGCAGGTTGACGCCTGCGCCTGCGTGAGCCTGCAGCAGCAGCAGACGTCGGCACTCTCCAGCTCTGCAACTTTACCTTTGTTTTCGGCGAATCAGCCCGGCCGAAACCGGTTTATGATTGGTCAGTCCTCGTGCACATGTGCAGATTATCATTCTCTTTCCTTACTCCCGGAAGAACAGTTTAGAGTGCAAATGGTTTCTTTGTTGCTAATCTGTAGGTAATATCTACAAGAAAGTTCTACAGAAAGTTGCAACGGGTCCTGAGAAATGTCGCTAGGTTTGTCGCTAGGCGCTTTTTGGAAAAAAAGTCGTTCAGGGGGGTCAAAAAGTCGTTAGGAACAGCGACAAAGTCGCTGAGTTGGTAACACTACTAATACGTATAAAATACAACGTTATCTTCCGTGTCACGTGACGTTACATGACCGCCGTGGAAGCCGCGGTCACGTGATGCAAGTCTGTTCCATTTAACCGTTTTCGTTGACCAAGCAAGGACCGTGTCCTCGTAAGCAAGGCGCCTGGCCTCGCAAGACATCACCTCGCAAGGCCAGGCGCCTTGACATTGAGAAACACCCTCTGAAGTACATAAAACACAATATAAACACTCTATCCTGGACCGGGTACATGACAGGATACCACAGGACGGCGCTAAGCCTTCTGCTGTCCTGGCGGGGGATTTGCAACACTCCCCAGGAGACGGAGAAGTCCGACAGCAAAACGTCCGTCAATGCTCGCGTGTCTCTCCCTTGTGGAGCTGATGGAGGAGTATAAATTAGGCTTAAACCACCCTGAGACCCTTCTATTGTTTTTAAAGGTAACGTTAGCTCCAACAAAGTGTTAGCATGCTAGTTAGCCACCAGCTAGTTGACTGCGAGTCAGCAGCATCTGGGTCGCTGAGCTAACACAGAACTTCTCTCCAGCAGCGCGTCCTTCTTCCTGTCCCCTTACCTGACAGGCGTCCACGCCCCCGCTGAGGACTCCAGCACACAGCATCATGTCCGTGACCTCGTCCTCCATCAGACCCTTACAGACCGTGCTGTTGATGACCCGGACCTGAGCCTTCAGCAGCTCCTTCGACGTGACTCCTGAATCACACAAGAATCAAATCAAAGACGTCCTCTGAACGTAGACAGCTCTTAGAGCTTTCAGTGGGAGATGAAACAGGGTTTTATTTACGCTCCTGTTCATGTTCCTGCTCCACCAGTCACCTTTCTACTACACCCAACATGTTGAGATGTGCTGCTGGAATGTTTCAGTCTCTGCTGATCCCAGGGCGACCAATGCTGTTCTGGTTGGTTCTACACAAACATCCAGCAAGAAGATTCAGGATACCAAACAGGCCTAGCTCTGCCTCACCTCCCTCCATGGTGGCGCCCCAGCCAGTGATCCACGCCTCTTTGCCTGCTGGGAAGTCGTAGGTGGAGGAGGGGAGGCAGATGGGGTAGATGTGCTGGTCCAGGGTGACGGCGGCGTCCAGCTCCATCAGAGCAATGTCGTTGTTGAAGGTATGAGGGTTGTAGTCTTTGTGAGCGATGATCTGCCTGATCTTCCTCCGGACCATCCACTCGTTGGTCTGACCTTGTGTGTGCAGACCCAAATAGGCCTCCCACTGGTCAGCCTGAGACAACCTGCCGCCGCCAGAGAGAAAACAGCTGGTTTCAAAGATTCAGAGGCCATCGGCCATTCTGTGAAGTCAGAGATCGTATTGATGGGGTCATAGGTCAGATCGAAGAGGTCAAAGGTTGGATCTACACATTTTGTCTTCCAGACACTGGATACTTTTCTCAGCCAGATCATGTGATTAGATAAGAACTTTATCCAGATCTGAGCTACAAAGATCCCTCAGGCCTCGATGTGAGCAGACTAACCAGCGACGCCACAGAACCAGAACCAGAACCTTCAAGGAAAACAGAAGCTCGGGCAGTTAAGAAACGGAACTACGTTCAGAAACAGTTCTGACCTGTCCGGTCCGTTGTCCTGGACGCAGTGGGCCGCCGTCAGCAGCCAGCGGTTGTTCAGAACCGACCCTCCACACACGTGACCCAGTCCTGTGACATGGAGGCTCACCTGCCAGGGCCACTCCCCCTCCTTCGACACCTGACCCCCAACAATACGGGCGCTCCGGAAAGGCTTCATCCCACACTCTGGAACACACACACACACACGTTTAGTCAGACACGGTGTGCATTTATATATATATGTGTGTGTGTGTGTGTAAGACATACCACAGTTGGACTCATCAGAACCATCCTCACAGTCCTGCTCTCCGTCACATTCTGAATTTGGTTTACTGATGCAAGTTCCGCTCCGGCATTGGAACGAAAAGCAGCTGGAATGCAGGAGAGCTAACGCACGCACGCACGCACGCACGCACGCACGCACGCACACACACACACACACACACACACACACACACACACACACACACACACACACACACACACACACACACACACACACACACACACACACACACACACACACACACACACACACACACACACACACACACACACACACACACACACACACACACACACACACACACACACACACACACACACACACACACACACACACACACACACACACACACACACACTTCCTGTTCTTTCATGTTGGAGGGCAGGAGGAACATTTAGCTCCTCCCTCTTCTCCGGGGCCGATAGTTAGCTCGTTGTAATTGTTAATCAAATGAACGTCTGATCAGAACTCAGATTCTGATGAAACAAACCTGGAACTAGAACCAGTTAGCTCCACTGGTTCAGATTAGATTCTTACATTTTTCGCATTTGGACTCATCAGAACCGTCTCCGCAGTCGTCTCGCCCGTCACACTTCAGCCGTGTGGAGACGCAGCGGCCGTTCCCACAGGAGAATTCTCCATCTGAACACTTTCCTGCAGAGAAGAACCGAACCAGAAGGGTTTCATCTTCAACCCCTGAACTTAGGTACCGATGGTTCCGATCCGGACTCGTTACTCGGCTCACCGCAGCCTTCTTCATCCGTGTTGTCGCCACAGTCGTCCACGCCGTCACACATCCAGAGTCGGGACTTACACAGATTGTTGTTACACCTCAGCTGGTCCGCCTTACACGCTGATGCACAACACCAGGAATGAGTGAGTGTGTGTGTGTGTGTGTGTGTTATGCGTCTGTGTGTGATGACTCACTACAGTCGAGCTCGTCGCTGTTGTCTCCACAGTCGTCGTGGCCGTCACACTGCTGATCTGTTCTGATGCACAGGTTGCTTTTACACTTGAACCTTCCTGGACAAGCTGATCAACAACAACAACAACAACAACACTCAACAACGATCCTGCACCGTCCTCCCCGGAGCCAGGGGGTCTAAAGAACATCTGCTCTGTTCAGGAGCATCATGGGACTGATCACTTACGGTTGGATGGGACAAAACCTTCGTAGCTGGCGAGGAAACCCTGGTCCACGAGAGAAGCGTCTGAATTGAACTTGATGGTCACACTGTTGCTCCGGCTGGTGAAGACGGGGCTCTTTAAAGCCCTGCCACAGATCCTTCTGCAGACACAGAGCACAGTTCGGTTCTGCAGGTCCATACTGAGAAGGTTTGGGTCCAGATCAGTTCACTGAGTGTCTGCAGCTGTGGCATCTGGGACTTCCAGCGTTGTGTTTACGGATGTTCTGGTTGGTCTGGTTTTGTTGGACCGTCTTTACCTTCGATTTGGGCACACATTCGCCGGGGCGTTATTTCGATCAACTTCTGCAGCGTCACCATATTCATTTCTATCCAGTGTTGCATTAATGTTTTACCAAAAATTGTCCAATGCTGGTGAGCCTGTGTGAACTGTAGCCTCAGCTGACAGGAGTGGCACCCGGTGTGGTCTTCTGCTGCTGTAGCCCATCTGCCTCACGGTTCGACTCATCGTGCTATCAGAGATGCTCGACTGCACACCTTGGCTGTAACACGTGCTTATTTGAGTTAAGGTTGGTTTATGCTTGACGCGTCCGCGAGGTCCGCACGGCTCCACGCGGAAAAGTAGCGTCATTTTAACAACCACGCCCCTCCACCGCGCCTCCGCACGGCCCAGAATTTCCGCAACGCGCACCTCGGAAAATTTCTAACCACGCGGACGGTCGTACGCGGAAAAACATGGAGGACCGGCAAGAACTAGTACGGCAGAGGTTCGTAAATACAGACATTTGTATGATTCAGCTCTCAGAGATCACCGTGATCAACATGTTGTTAATAATTCTTGGAGAGAAATAGCTCGCACTGTCGGAAAAGACGAGAACGCTGTTAAAAATGCTGAAATGCCATGTTGTAAACAGTAATTTACTATGGTGTAGTGTTGGATGCATGCCGTAGAGCTCCATGCTGCCCCCTACAGTTTGGGAGAATATTGGCTCACCGCAGAGACGAGCCGCATGAACCATAAACGCTGCGAGTTGTGAAGCGCGTTCCAGCCGCGAGCCGCATCACCGCGCGGAAAGTGAATGCGTCAAGCATAAACCAAGCTTTACTGTTGTCTTTCTATCAGCTCAAACCAGTCTGGCCAGTCTCCTCTGACCGCTCACCGGATGTTTTCTTTTTTGGACCATTCTCTGTAAACCCTAGAGAAGATCAGCAGTTTCGTCTGGCACCAACAACCCTGCCAGGTTCGCAGTTCTTCCCCGTTCGGAAGCTCGGTTTGAACTGCAGCGGGTCATCTGGACCTTGCCAACATGCCTAAATGCACTGAGTTGCTACCACGTGATTGGCTGATCAGTAAGTTGTGTTAACGAGCAGTTGGACAGGTGTACCCAATGAAGTGGCCAGTGAGTGTATACATACATACACCAACGTCCCAATTATCTCAAACTGGAGCTGGGTTTGCGTGTGTGTGTGTGTGTGTGTGTGTGAAGTGTTGAAGCAGCATAAATGTTTCCTTCAGGTCGTTTCCTCACCGTTCACCGTCGATCTCCACAAAATCGTTGCTGCAGTCTTCACTGAAGGTTCCCAAGGAGAACTCGTTGAACTGAATCTTCACAAACTTTTCAGTTGAAACCTGAAAAATAAATCCAGTTCTAATAATGGGAGCTGCAGTTGGGTGTGATGGTGGATGCTCTGCATGTTCCTCGCTCAGATCGAATAAATATCCATCCATCCATCCCTTTATCCAGAGTCGGGTCACGGGGACAGCAGCCTAAGCCGAGAGGCCCAGACTTCCGTCTCCCCAGCCACCTGGGCCAGCTCCTCCAGGAGAACCCCAAGGCGTTCCCTGGCCAGCCGAGAAACGTAGTCCCTCCAGCGTGTCCTGGGTCTTCCACTGGGTCTCCTCCTGGTTGGACGTGCCTGGAAAACCTCACCAGGGAGGCGTCCAGGAAGCATCCTGAGCCACCTCAACTGGCTGAAAACGGGTTTTCATCCTCTGGAAGCTTCTGCTTCAGCTACGGTAAACTTACTGCTGTTGGACCAACAAACTAAATAAGCATCTTTGCTCGGACAGCAACAACTCTTCCGTAAATTTACTTTGCAAGGACTCACAAGCACAACTATGTAGTTTTTTTTAACCTTTACGTAAGAGTTTAACCAATCAAATAAGGGATTTTTGACGCTGTTCCAAAGATATTTTGTGGTGACTTCAGAGAGTAAATCATCTGAAGGATTAATCCGGATGTCTGACACAGAAAGGAGCTGTTTGTGTTTCTTCCTGTCAGACTCACCTGGATTTTCCACTCACACAAGGTCTGAGGCGGATAGTTGGAGGGGAAGAACGGCGATGAAAACGAGCCGGTGTCTGCCGTCAGCTGTCCTCCACATTCTGTCCAGAACATCAAGTCAGTTAGTCCAGTTTGGTTTCACAGCCTGACTCCAGAACCGACCGGTCACCGGCCATTGGTCCTGACTCCAGATGTTAGAGGGTTCATTACTGGGAAACATCATTTTAGATCAAAACCAAGACAATTAAATCAATCTCTTCTTTTTCAAATTTAACTTTAAAATTCTTCCTGCAGACAGGAGAAATGCCAGAGTTCATCCTGATGGAAACAGGAGCATCCAGAACCAGGAACCAAAGCTCATAAACTGGGTCTAGCAGACGTTCTCTCATCTGGACTCATTTAATGTAGAAGGAATAAAAACTGTTTTTAATTTCTGTAAATTCACCCGACCAGGCTTCAGAATCAGGAACATTAAACTGGTCAGACTGGGTGACTTTATTAGAACTACGTGAGATTTAAAGGGGATACTGGTTCTGGTCCCACCTTGGTCTGGAACCTGGGAATAGAAAGCTCTGAACCCAGGGAAGGTCTTCTTCTGGTTGGTCACCAGCGTCATCAGCATGACGTTCCGAGAGGACAGGAAGGACAATGACTCCTCAGGATATCCACACTTTCTGGAGGGGGACAGAGATGGACACGGGTCCACAGATGCATCAGTGACCAAAGCAGATCAGGTCAACAGAACCTGGATTTGATGTTGTAGTCATCTTTCCGTTTCAGGTGCAGAAACACCTGAGAGTCGTCTGCATAGCCGTAGAAGGCGATCTGGACCCTAGAGGCAGCAAATGGACTTAAAGCAGTGGACGGAGTATTGAGCCCTGCGGAACCCCACGTCACAATAAAACTGGGGGAGAGGAAATAATTTACACTGACCAGGAAAGTAAAGCAGAGTGATGTCAGACACACAGGTTTGTTAACCAAGAAGAAGGCACCACCATTCTTCATGTTAGGGCTCATGTCCAGAGTAGGTCCAGTTATGTGGGTTCACAAACCCTGTTTGTTAAAAGTAAAACGTGAGTCTTTAAGCAAGACTTAAAGACTTGAAGACATGGCGCCTGCCCAGTGCTCAACGGCAACTCGTTCCTCTGAGTTTGGGCCAAACCCAAACCTCCTAATCTGTATTTCGGGTGGGGGACTACCAACAGCTCTTGCTCAGCTGAGCGAAGAGACGTGAACGGGCAACAGTACAGAAATGTAAGGGGGAACGCTGCCCTGAAGAGCTTTGTACACCAAGGAGAGCCAGTGAAGAGCATCCAACACTGGAGCGATGTGACTCTGGTGTCTTGTACCAGTCAACAACCTAGCAGACTCCAGATGACCTCTAGACAACAGAGGCTTGATCCTAGACAACCATGTTGATTTGCGCGTCAAACTTAAGGGATGAATCCATTTTTATCTCCAGACTTCAGACTGCCTTCTTCTCATACAGCGCCAAAGAGGTGAATTCAACACTGGGACCTGAACTATCTCTTCTACCCTCTTCCAGCCAGGGTACCTAGGGATGGACTGACCAATCTCTGGAGCAGAAGACACCGAAGTATTCTAATGTTTATGCAGTGGTGGAGTTCCAGGAGTGGAGGAGGTCCATCCTGGGTATCTCAAGGCTCTTGATGTTGAAGGACTACAATATCTTGAAGGACACGCCTCTGCAACATTACAAGGAGATCTGGGGTGGTCCCAGTTGAGTGGCAGACTGGGATGGTGGTGCCCTCATCTGTTAAGAACCATTCAGTCTTTGTGCCAAGGGAGAGTTCGTTGGTTTCCTGGTGAGGGTAGGACTCAACCCTTACCCCTCCACCCAACTTTAGGGCGACAGTGGCAGAGGAGTTCAGTCCCAGGGTGACAGGTTGAGCTTCGTCTGTCACAGTGGTTGTTTCCTTGGGCAAGGCACTTAGCCCACATTGCTTGTAGGTGGTGGGTCCAGTGCTCAGCAGCCTCGCTTTTATCAGTGCGCCAAAGGATAACTGTGGATACAACGTAGCTCAACACTTCCACTGTTTTGTAGAGCACCTTGGGGGGTTGTCGAACCCTAGAAGGTGTTATATCAAATACAGGCCTTTTAACTCTAAGGAGTGAGCAGGAACTTTGATGTGATCCTCTTAGCTTCAACAGAATATGACCTTCAACTTTTTACGGGACGAGGATCAGCACCTCCAGATCTGAGGCCATGGATCAGGCGCCACCCCTGGGTCCAGGGAGATGTTCTACATCAGAGGGTGAAGTTTAACTTTCTTTGGGCTAGTCCACAAGTTGAAAACTCACTCGGTCAGAACTTTGGTATCGATTGGACCCAGAGAGTCGTAGAGCCTGATGAAGTCATGCTGACAGTCATCCTCCAGGATCAAAGTGTGGAACTCTAATTTGACTCTGTATCCCGGGTCGGCCCGCAGCCTCCACTGCTGGTAAATGTCTCCAGGGTAAGCAACCGGAAAGCCAGGAGAATCGATCTGTCCTGGCTCTTTCACATGAACGTCGGCTGGATCCGTTTCTGAAAACAGCAGATAGGAGGGTCAGGTTCTGGAGGTGCTTTGGGTTCTACGGCACGCTCAGATCCATTCTGGTGGAAATAAAGACACGACTTACTGTTGAGGGTGGTTCTGGTCAGCCGTGGGTCCAGTGCTGCCAACACACACACACACACACACACACACACACACACACACACACACACACACACACACACACACACACACACACACACAAAGGGTGGTCAGTGCGAATGACAGTCCATCCAGAAGTGATGCAACATCTGCCTCAACTCAGCTGAAATCATCCTTTAGCCCCGCCCCCCACGAGAAGGAACAACATGAGATATCAGAGCTGACAAACCCCCAGACACGACGCTCTTCCATCTCAGAGGGTTTTCAGGTCTCAGAATTAGCCGTGATCGAGGTTCCTCTGGTGGGGTAAGGTCCTGGATAGCTTCATCCAGAGCCCTCTGCTGATGGACCGGAACGTTGAACTCAGACTGGTAATACGCCACGACGCCGGAACCACTAGAGCTGCGAGAGGCTTCCTCACTACAACACACACACACACACACACACACACACACACACACACACACACACACACACACACACACACACACACACACACACACACACACACACACACACACACACACACACACACACACACACACACACACACACACACACACACACACACACACCTCAGAGATGAACAAGTGATGAGAAGTTTTGATGCATTGTCCCGGCTCTGCCCGGCCCGGCTCTGCCCGGCTCGGTTCTGCCCGGCCCGGTTCATGTACCTGAAAGCCTGGACGGTGGAATCCTCGAAGTACTTTGACAGAATCAAATCTTTGGAGTAAATCAGCTTCAGCTAGAAGAGAAAAGCGTCATTCTTTAACCTTTCTATCCGACAGGTGAACTCCCATGATGCTCTGGGGCTGCAGGTCTCACCTGTTGGCCAACCAGAGCAGCCAGCTCCTTAAACTTCTGACTGTTGGGGTTTTCGTAATCCGGGTCGAAGCGCCGATCGCTGATTCCCATGGCACCGATATAGACGCGTTTTATTCTGACGCTGCTGCGCACTGAAGAGACCAGTCATTCAAATGAAAACTTTATTTAGACAAACAGAACAAACACCTGAGGCTCAGAATATGAGGATCGTTGTGGCTGAAACAGTCAGCTGATAAAATCTGAGGCTCATTAGTGACACTTCCTGTTTGTTCGTGAACAGAAACCAGGTTCTGGTTCTGGTTCATGTCTGGAATAAAGGTTGTGAGCAGAACCTCTAAACAAGGGGAGTTTCCTGCTGGGCGGTTCCTGACTTTTGTTCTCTGCAGAAACCGAGAAGCAGCCAGAGGTGGATTCTCGCTCTGAGTCGGACCGGTTTGGTGAGCTGGATCGGGTCAGAGGAGTGAACAACAACCCAGCAGAAAGTCTGACACAAACATATGGGGTGCCATTTGTAAAGTCAAACAGTCATAATCTAACAGCAATATTTTTGGTTATTTAGCATCTCATATCAGAAAGAATTGGGAGTTCACTTTTTTGAAGTCATATTTTCACCATGTTATTCATACATTTATAAATGCTAAAGTTTCCAAATAAATATTTAGTTAGCAAGCTAAATATTTCATTTGTAGTTAAATATTTATTTTGCAAACTAAATATTTAGGTCGGATCTAAGTATTTGGTTTGTAAAATAAATATTTAATTCACTAACTAAATATTTAATTTACTAATTAAATTTTTATTTTGGAACTAAATATTTGATTTGTAAATTAAATATTTAATTTGTAAATTAAATATTTATTTTCTGAAATAAATATTTAGATCCCAGCTAAATATTTATTTTGGAGCTAAACATTTAGTTTGCAAAATCAGTATTTGGGAAATAAATATTTAAGTCTGGCCCAAAAATATAAAATACAGTGTGGAGCTAAATAACATCGTGGAAAATAAATATTTAGCTGGTACTTAAACATTTAGCTAATATGCAAATTCGCTTGCCAGTAAGCGAAAGTTGGTTCAGCCAACACCTTGGACATGTTCAGAAGAATAGAACCGGAGATAAAACAAGATCTGGTTCGGAGCAAGAGTTTATAAAGAGGTTAGTGAGATCCAGCTTTTATTTTGGTAACCAACTTTCTCTAATTGGCAAGCAAATTTGCATATTAGCTAAATGTTTAAGTACCAGCTAAATATTTATTTTCCACGATGTTATTTAGCTCCACACTATATTTTATATTTTTGGGCCAGACTTAAATATTTATTTCCCAAATACTGATTTTGCAAACTAAATGTTTAGCTCCAAAATAAATATTTAGCTGGGATCTAAATATTTATTTCGGAAAATAAATATTTAATTTACAAATTAAATATTTTGTTCCAAAATAAAAATTTAACTAGTAAATTAAATATTTAGTTAGTGAATTAAATATTTATTTTCCGAAATAAATATTTAGATCAGACCTAAATATTTAGTTTGCAAAATAAATATTTAACAATAAATTAAATATTTAGCTTGCTAACTAAATATTTATTTGGAAACTTTAACATTTATAAATGTATGAATAACATGGTGAAAATATGACTTCGAAAAAGTGAACTCCCAATTCTTTCTGATATGCTAAATAACCAAAAATATTGCTGTTAGATTAGGACTGTTTGACTTTACAAATGGCACCCCATAGTGTTCGACCCACTTTGACCCGTTTGAATCTGGATTTTCAGCTGAAACCAGAAACTTTTAAAATGTTTCCAAAACTGTGAATCTCCCTCAACAGGATGTAAAGTTTCCTGTAACCGGTCCCAGCGCCTCTGCAACTCCTCCTGAACACGGGTCAGTCTGTAGAACTCTGACCCGCTCAGACAAAAACACCCAAAAGTCTCGGTGAAGTTAAGGTTCTAAAGCAGCTCACAGTGGAAGTGCCACACCAGCAGCCCGGTCAGCAGAGCCAGAGCAGCAGCTGAAATCAGCAGGCCCAGTCCGATCCACAGCTGCTTCCGACAACCCGGTTTCTTCTCCAGACGCGTGGAGTCCGAGGCCGGCAGGAACTGGAGGGTGGTGTCGAGATCCTGCAAACACAACAGAAAGGAGACGATCGCCGATGAAGCGCTGATCCCGTTTCATCAGAATATCCTGGTTCTGAATGTTTGGAATGTTTGGTTCAGAATAAAAATATTCAGCTTTTCGCCGTCGCTTGTTTGCTCTTCTGAATTTTAGTTACTAAAACTGTGAAAAGTTGCAGAACAACAGGTTCTAAAGGAACCAAGCAGAACCAAAGCTGGCCCTATGAGAACCCACCAGGTTAAAGTTCTACCAGTAACACAGAAACCCGATGATGGACCGGAGGGACTTCTGGTTTAGAACTCATCAATAGGATCCACAGTGCTCGAAGTGGACCGGGACGCTTCTCTAGCACGTCTCGTGTCCTGAAGGCCTCGTACCAGAAGCTCAGCGACTCGTCTGCATGCATGTTGGTAACTTCCTGTCTAGATTTTAGGATTCGCTTCAAACAGCGATGTTCTGCTTGGATGGTGGGCTCTGACTCTGCTGAACCTTGACCCCGGAGTTGACCTCTGATCTCTGGAGGTTGCGTTGGAGTCTTTGGTTTCTCTTCATCTAAAGGACTTACCAAGGACACAACCCAACCCTCCGGTATCGAGGTGGGTACTTATCTCCTCTGCCGTCTTTGCCTTCAACTACTTAAAGATGGTCCTCAAGCCTTCAGCAGATTAAACGTTCCACGAGTTCATTTCGAGTCGTCTTCTACAGAAGCGCATTACCATCATCAGTGCAGGGAAAACACACGGGCGGTATCTCGTCACAACGAGGAAACGCTAAAACGTCGACATCTCATCGAGGAGGGAGGTGGAGCTCCTTCATGTCATCCCTCCACACCTGGGTCAAGTCTTCGTCTACTATCAAAACAACGGAGTTACAACCCTTCACGTGGATTTCTTTATGCAAATTAGCTGTACTTCCACTTTCTAGTCGAGGAGCGGCTTTCAAACTAAAAGTTGACTTCCTGTTTGTGGTTTTCTCATTTTCAAAAACTTTGAAACCTTTTCAGATGAATGCAGTCGTGTGTATAAACTCGTGTCCTGATATTACGTCAGAAATGTTCTCGTTTTGTGAGAAATGTGTGGTTGTTTTTGGTGTTGCGCTTAAACACGACCTCTCGGTATGAAGAGCTGTCAGTCCGTTGCCTTAGCAACGGGGTGTGCGTAGTGGAGCCGGCAGAGAAGAGAGCAAGCGGGTGTAATTAGTCGCTTTGTGCATCGTTTTCTTGGATGTTTTATCTCCAAAAGAATAGAAGCCTGGAGGAGTTCTGCCATGTGGTGGAGTTGCTAATGCTAATGGTTAGCTTCTACGAGTCAAGACGTGCTCTGCTCTCTCCTGGATGCTAAATCAACAGCAGTCTGCCTTGATGTGAGCGAAGATGGGTGAGCCATGAATGCTAACTTGACGTTATCGCCTTATCGGAGTGTTTCCTCGCCTATTTTCTATCGGTGGCTAATGAAGGAAACAGGTAGAAGACTTGGATGTTAGACTGACGGTAGGATCAGATTTTAAAAATAACAAGTAAAAACGGTTTCTAAGCTTGACCTTTTTCTCTGTCGGGCTGGTACCACCAATCTGGTTTCACGTCTCCAATCGGAACGTAGTTAAAATACGATTTAAAGATTCGGTTTCAGAAATCAGAGGAATCATAAGGCAGCTGAAGGACCCGTTGTGGTGTTTAAAACATCAAAACAACAAACAAGCTCATAAACTAGTTTCGTAAACTTGATTAATTTTCTGAATTTTCTCCTTTTCAGATCAAATTCAAACTTCTCAAATGAAACCAACAAACATGTTAAACATGAATCTGTAGTTTGGTTCTTGAATCCTGGAACATCTAGACTTCTTTACAACCTCTTTCCAGGGAAGCTGATGCGGGTCTGAGAACCCAGCTCAGAACCCGTCTAACAGGAAGTGGCGCGTCGCGGCCTCCACCCTGTTCCACCCTGTTGAACCGGAGCGGAACAGAACCACCTGAACCCAGCTGTCTGCTTTTTTTTTTAATCACATCACCAAGTTGGTTTCAGGTGAATCTATGTTGCCATGACGACCTCTGCAGTGTTCACAAGTAACCCGTTTAGTCCAGTCAGCTGGGATCAGACCCTGTGGTCCAGAAAGAGAAGAGAACAGACCCGACTCCGGCTCAACAGAACCTTCAGCGTCTTGGTTTAGCACTACAGAAATCTGCTCAGGTTGGGTTCTCCCTCATCTGCTTCAGAACTGCTCCATCTGTAAGGATCAGAACATCTGAGGAGCAGAACCGGACCACTTATGTTGTGTATCGTCTGAAGTCTGTTGCATTTCTGTCTGAGGTGTTTTTTTTTTTTGCATAGCAAAGCTGCCCTCCCTGTGGGGGGTAACTCTGAAGTGCCTTTTTTCCCTCCACCTGAACCAATCCTCATATAAACCCTCTTGATCTATTAAGGTAGCGCGACTCGGGTTGCGAATGACCACAGTCACCAGTTCAATTCAATTCAAGTTTATTTATAAAGCGCCAAATCACGACAAGAGTCGTCTCAAGGCACTTCACATAATAAACATTCCAATTCACAGTTCATTAAGCCAATCAGAAATAATGTTTCCTATATAAGGAACCCAGCAAATTGCATCAAATCACTGACTAGTGTCAGTGACTATACAGCAATCCTCATACTAAGCAAGCATACAGCGACAGTGGAGAGGAAAACTCTCTTTTAACAGGAAGAAACCTCCAGAGAATCCTGGCTCAGTATAAGCAGCCATCCTCCACGACTCACTGGGGATCGAGAAGACAGAACACACACACACACACACGCACGCACACACGTGCGTCTATGTACGTATGTCTGATCTCAGAATTGTGTGTACTGAAACTCTAATTTCCCTCTGGGATTAATAAAGTATCTTTGAATTGAATTGAATTTAATCCCTAAGGTTCTGTTAGACTTACAGCTGGACTCAGTCTGGGTTCTGGTTCTGTTACACAAGTAACTGTTGGACCTGGAAACAGAAGCAGGAGTCCAGTCTGTGTTATCCGTGCAACATGCTGACTCGCTGGTTCTGCTGGATCCGTGATGACCCACTGGTTCTGACGGATCCGTGATGACCCACTGGTTCTGACGGATCAATAAGGACCACAGTATTTGAGCTTTCCCGCCGTCATTTGGACGGCCTAAATAACGAGGGGCTTTTAAATTTGATGGCGAGCCGTAGCCGTTCTGTAACATCTCATCTAAAATGAGCAGTTTGTGGAAGTGAAATAAAAATCTGGTTATTGTACGAATGTTTCTGTAGACGTGGAAAGACAGATTCGATAAAGTTCAGTAAAATATGTTTCTGTTGGGTGACAAATTACATTAAAGGGTCGCATCATCAAAAATTCTCTTCTGGAGCGTTTTACAAGGTGATGATATTTCCTCGTGAGAACCCATTGTTGACTGCATTCATGCATTTTCTCACATTCTGAGGTAAGGACCTACAGAAGGAAACTAAGTGCATCATCAGGCTATGCTCCTCCCCCTGAAGCTAGTCTCAGGTATGAAACCCACCTCCCCTGGAAGTCGGTCACCAACGCCCACTTTCTCCGAGTTGCACGTTTGTTTTTGTGAAGCGCCTCGTGATTTTTATCTTGAGAGGCTCTATAGAAATATTTTCTTCTTCTTCTGTGACAGCCCCATCTAGTGGACAACCTTGGTTTCTGCGCATACCTGTAGCTATCGTCTATCGTTATCGAGGTGAAATCGTCGTTATATCATGATACTGATTTTAGGCCGTATCGCCCAGGCCTAGTAGAGCGGTTGATTCCAAGCAGCAGTGGTAAATCGAGAGCTTTGTCTTCCGGCTCAGCTCTCTCCACCACGACAGATCGGTACAACGCCTGGATCACTGCAGATGCAACATTTTAACCCTTTATTGGTAGTTGCTAAAATTTTATTTTTAACTCTCTTTGTTTATTTAGCCAGCTGGAGCCCATGAGTCCATGTGAGGTGAGCAGAGTAGATCATTGGGACTTCTGCGTCTCGTCCAGAGCCCTGCAACAAAAATGCTGCTTGGAAACTAACTAATTCTAAGATCTTAAGAGACACTAAATATTTTACAGACAACAATCAATCAAACAAAAATACATAAAGATGAAATCTGCTTCAGCTGGCTGAATAGATTACCGCCAAAATCGGGAGTCAAATTGGTGTCAGGACACGGCGAAACAAAGGTGAGAGGCAGGTGCTTGAACCACGACACCACCAAGCCCAATACAATGGCAGAACTGCCCTAAACACAGTGTGTGTTTTCCCTGGCAACAAGGGCAGTAGATACCCAAATCATTGCAAGCAAGCAGTCTTTGTGTTCCAGTAAGACCGTACCAACGGATGGCCACTAGGGTCAAAAATCCCTGGGAAGTGCACCCTCCAGCAAAATGACAAGCACATCAGACGCCCGTTCATCACCGGCATTAAGCAAAGAGCTAAATGTGTAAAACAACATAACTGAATGGTGAAAGTTTTGTAACCATTTGTTTCAAGTCAGTAAATGCATTTTGTCCTCACAGGCTACCTTAGAAGGAAACATGGCGCCGCCCAGAGACTTAGACCCGCTCCCAGGTATTTTAGACCCAACGTTTTTGTTGCAAAGCCGCCAATATTTTTCAACAACATTTCGATGGATGTTTCCACAGATTCAAAGTAAAAAGGAGTAAAAAGTACACATGGTCTCTTTAAGCCTAGTTCATGCTTCTGCGTCAGCTCCAAGAGGGAACGACGCACACGCATTGACAGACGTTTTGCTCTCGGACTTCTCCGTCTTCTGGGGAGTGTTGCAACACAGTTCCCCTCCAGGACAACAGTTCAGGGGTATCCTGTCACGTACCCAGTCCAATATAGTGCATTTACTATTGTGTTTATATTGTGTATTTTAGTATTTCAAACACTTTTTAACAGGAACAAATGTGTCCCTCGCTGTCCTCCGTCTCTTCATACCCTCTACCTCTAAACCCGCGTTTTCTGTCAGAAAACGCTCGCTGCGCATCTTTTTACTCATCCAGTCACGGGTGAAGAAAGCGTTCATATTTTTAGACTTTTTCCCAATTCTTCAATCTGCTCCGTGTCTTCGGCTCCCCTCTGAGGGGTAACGGCGGTGCGGTTGATAAAAGTGGCATCCTGACCAATCATGAGCTTGCGTTCCCTGTCTCGTTGGACGGATGTTTGGAAAAGTGGGCTCGACTCCGTGCTGGGGAGCTCTTGCAAGGACGGGTAAAGGCGCTGTGTCTCCACACAAGACGCAGACACGTAAACTAGGCTTTATACGCAGATGTTGTACGCGAGTTCGGTTGGAGCGGGTGTGGGCGGAGCACCGGCGCTGTTTCCAAGGAAGCTTTCTTCTCATTTGTTGCTTCACCGTGGCCCATGATGCTTTGCGTGTTACGTAATGAATGGGTGAAGCTCAGGCCGCTGGAGGTGGGGTTGACCGAAACGGACTATTTCATTTGGGGGTACAAAGAAAGGCTGAATAAAACAAAATGACATGTCAGTAGTGCCAACGGTAATATTTTATCAAATATTGTGCCTTTGCTCTCAAATGTTTAAAACAGCTCTGGTCTTTAAAGAGCAAGTCACCCCCAAATCAACGTATGTTTTCTGATAAACTATATAAACACGTGTCTAACCGTGCTGCAGACACGTGTAGTCAATAGTTTTGCACTTTAGTGCATTTTAGTAACATTTTTAATTTTCTGCCTAAAACGGTCAGTGTAAAAACTCTGCACTGCATTTGAATAAAAATCTGCCATCGCTATTGGCTAAGAGGTACCCTAGAACGTTAGCTGGTACCATATGATGTCACAATATCGTTGTGAGCCTGTGTGTGTGTGTTTGTGTATTTGTTAGCGGCTCCGCCCTCTCGGTCTGCTAGGCAACAGCATTTGTTGCATTTTTCAAACAGGAAGTGGGAGTGGAGTACTCTGGTAGGGGGTGACTTGCTCTTTAAATGCTTATGAAGCCATGATGAACACAAAGGCTTCACAAGTCTCTGCTGCGATTTAGTTTGAACAAATTTCCCTCAACAGCTTAAGCTGATAGTCCCGTTTAGTGACAACGGGAGTCTGAAGGCACCGTTTTACCTGCAGTTATTTACTTCTGAAGCTAAAAGTAACTTCAGTTCAAACTATTTAGAATTTTGTGTTTATCACATTTAGCTAGAATTGTTTTAAAAATTAGTTTTTTGTTCATTTTATGAGAATTTTGCATCGCATTGTTTGGAAAAATAATCATAACGCAACATAACGATTAATTGAAAGGTTTAAGATAAAAAAAATAAGTTTAAAACAGTTAATGTTCTTTAAATAGCATTGTGTGCTCTTATATGCATTGTGGCTAAATTGTTAAACGCAATGAAAACCGACACAACCCTCCCATCGATGTTCTTGTTCTCTGATCAGAAGAACCACTGGTTCTGATGGTGGTTACAGAACTTCTGATCAACATGTTTTATTTTTGTCTCTGAGCCAAAACCGTAAAACATGTTGAAGCTGTTCATTAAAATCTCTCCAGTAGAATTATAGTTACTTGTCAGCTGTGTGTGCGTGTGCGTGCGTGTGTCCAGAAAAAGGAGAACCTGCTCACTGCTGAAACTGTCAAACTCGCGTGACGTCACAGCTGGTAACAGGTGTCGGACTCACCTTAGGACTGAACCTCCCTCCGTAATCCATCGGATCCATGTCTTCTGGTTCTTCCTGGTAAAGTTCGTTGCCGTTCTATCGGTTAGGTGGTCCCGCTCTCATGGCAGGAAACGGTTCCCAGGACAGGTGTGTGTGTCTCAGGTGAGACACGAAACTGCTTCTGGGGCGAGGTCTGAAGAAAAGGTGCAGTCCGGAGCGGGAACTCGGTTCGGTGGCGGAAGAGGAAACTGATGAGAAACAGGAGGAGACAGGTGGAGACACACCTGACTCTCCAGCCACCGCGCGGCAGAACCGCCGCAGCGCTCCAGGTTGCTCTCCAGCCAATCAGAACCGACCGAAGGTCCGAAGTTCGGCTCTAATAGACACCTGTGGGATTCTGCCTACCAGTGATCCCGGGTAGAACGGTTCGACGGGTGTAGTAGTTCACACGGTGAACACCAGAGGGCGGGGTTCTACCAGGTTCTGCTCATGTACTTGAGTCAGAACCAAAATATCTCAGCAAACGGGTTCTGATGGTTTTATTAGTGGAATGGATTGTTGTTATCATCATTATCATCATCATCATCATCATCATCATCATTATTAATAATATTATCGTTATACACATCTGTGCTTTGAAACAGTTTTCCCGTCCTTCAGTAAGACTTTACAGGGACAAAACGTCATCATTACCTGTGACGTCAAGCTTCGTCTCATTGGATAGAAAAACAAAACAATCACCTTATCATGCACCTTATGACTAATAACACAAACAGCTGCTAAACATCAGCAGTGACACCAAATAAAAACTCATCAAAGTGGATTTCATCTCTAAACAGATTCAGATTCAGACACCCAGGAAAAAACAAAACAAAACAAAACAAACGTGATTAGTGAACGTTCATCAGCTAGAACCTCTGCCGGTTTCACCTGAGAGCAGGTAGACGGGCCAGCAGGTGGTTTTAATGTTCTGATATTTATATATATTTATATGTCGATGGTTCTGACTGATAAATATTCTCAGCTTCATCTTTTAAAATGTTTCATAAAAGTAAAAGTTTATGGCTTCAAAGAGGTAAAACCTGAAAAGTTCCTTCAGCAGTCTGTTTTCAAATCAGTATCAGTTCATAACAATGATCACATGACTGGACCAGAGGTCAGTGACTCCAGAGGGTTCTCCTGAAAGCTTTTGGCCACTGGTGTCTCTGGAACAGGAGCTTGTTTGTTGTCCACATGATGGGATGTTTTAAACATTCTTGGAATTATTTAACGATGATTCCCTGGCAGCTCTGATCCTGAGTCAGCTTTCTGACTTACCATTGAACTAGTTTCAGTTCTGGACCACATCTTGAACCTTGGCCAATGTAGCATTTACCCACATGACTCCATATTTCCTCAGTTTCAGCTAAAGTGCGGCAAAGTTTTTAGCTCTGACGTTAGCTCTGGTGTTTGTTCTGGTGTTAGCTCTCATTTTAGCTCTGGTGTTAGCTCTCATGTTAGTTCTGGTGTTAGCTCTCATAGCTCTGATGTTAGCTCTGGTGTTAGCTCTGGTGTTAGCTCTGATGTTAGTTCTGGTGTTAGCTCTCATGTTAGCTCTGGTGTTAGCTCTGATGTTAGCTCTGGTGTTAGCTCTGACGTTAGCTCTGGTGTTATAGTGCATTCGATTTGTCCTCGGAACTCGGAAATCCCCACCTCCAAAATCAATTGTGTGTGTGTGTGTGTGTGTGTGTGTGTGTGTGTGTGTGTGTGTGTGTGTGTGTGTGTGTGTGTGTGTGTGTGTGTGTGTGTGTGTGTGTGTGTGTGTGTGTGTGTGTGTCTGCTCTGCCTTCTTGATCCCCAGTGAGTCGTGGTGGATGGCTGCTTATACTGAGCCAGGATCCTCTGGAGGTTTCTTCCTGTTAAAAGGGAGTTTTCCTCTCCACTGTCGCTTTATGCTTGCTTAGTATGAGGATTGCTGTATAGTCACTGACACTCATCAGTGACTTGATGCAATTTGCTGGGTTCCTTATATAGGACACATTATTTCTGATTGGCTTAATGAACTGTGAATTGGAATGTTTATCATGTGAAGTGCCTTGAGACGACTCTTGTCGTGATTTGGCGCTTTATAAATAAACTTGAATTGAATTGAATTGGAATGAAACGGCCCCCACGTCGGATCTCCCAGTCGGAAACTCGGAAAAATTTCACAACCCCGACTTCGAGATCGAAAATGGCAGCTCTCCGTATCAACAACAGTAGTTTTGATTGAAATGTGGTTATTTTACAAGACACTCTTATAAGAGTGCGTCTAAATCAGTGTTGTATGTAGCGCCTGCAACTCCAAGATGAACAATTTAAAAGTGTTGTTTTAGATCGTCTTTGTCTCTCTTCGAATATTTTTTGAAGATGAGCTTTCGTCTGTGTTCGTTTTCGAGGGCGTCACCTTATTGGATTCCCGACTTCTCTGTCTCCGGCAACCAGAACGCTGTTAACTCGGGTGTGACGTCATTCCTAGTTCCGAGTTTCGACTTCCGAGGAAAATCGAACGCACCGTTAGCTCTCTTGTTAGCTCTGATGTTAGCTCTGGTGTTACCTCTCTTGTTGGCTTTGGTGTTAGCTCTGACGTTAGCTCTGGTGTTAGCTCTGCTGTTAGCTCTCATGTTAGCTCTGGTGTTAGCTCTCATTTTAGCTCTGGTGTTAGCTCTCATGTTAGCTCTGGTGTTAGCTCTCATGTTAGCTCTGGTGTTAGCTCTCATGTTAGCTCTGTTGTTAGCTCTCATGTTAGTTCTATGTTTATGTATTTAGCAGACACTTTGTCCAAAGCGTTCTGGTGTTAGCTCTCATGTTAGCTGTGGTGTTAGCTTTGATGTTAGCTCTCATGTTATCTCTGGTGTTAGCTCTCATGTTAGCTCTGGTGTTAGTAAAATTTTGTCTGTTGATATTTTCCCCGTAGTTGTTGCTGCAGTCAGATCAGTTCAAGCAAAGCCCGCCTCTTCTACATCACAGGGAAAATTAGTATTCATGGCCCCGCCCACCTTGGCTTGCAACAACCACACCTTGGTTAGTAGAAGCTAACCATTAGCAATTAGTAATCGCAGCTCCACAACACGTTGATGCTTGAGCTGTTTGTGGAGAGATAACACATCGCCGTTGCAAAAGAAGGCAGCAGAAGAGTTGTGTTGCTGCTAGCCAGTCAGAAATAGCTTGTATAGCATGAATATTAATGAGTAAGACTCATAATCCTGTCATCCCCCCCCCCCCCCCACACACACACACACTCATCTTTCTTCTACTTCCTGAAACAGGAGCACGAGAGCTTTTTATCCACAGAAAATAACTCATGAGGCATTCGTTCATTCCTAGAGACCACAGCAGATTTATTGAAAGTAACAGGTGAATGAGCACTTTAAAGGCTTTTGCTGATATCAGAGCTGACATCTGACAACATCAGGACTAACTTCTCCGGTCCGTATCAGACCACGATGATGTCATCGTGTGTATGAGATTGGAGGCTAAACACAACCCTCTGGAGTCAGCGGGCAAATGCCCGGGTCCAGAACCAAAACAGCAAAAATATGGCTGTAAATAATAAAAATAAACAAATGAAAGTGACTTTTCTGCTGTTGCTTAGAAATGATGGATGAAGACATCTGATAGACCTTCTGTCGTCACTCCTGGATATGACCTGCATTCTGAAGCATGAAAATGTGAGGGAAAGGTTTTCGATTCTCTGTCTGAGAACAAATAAGTTCAGTCTTGTCCCTTTGCCCTCGGTCTCTGCTGCAGGAGAAAACAGATACAATACCTACAACGGTATTCATGCATATTAGTGACAGCTCACCACACACACACACACACACACACACACACACACACACACACACACACACACACACACACACACACACACACACACACACACACACACACACACACACACACCTGACAAGGAGCATGCCTGAGTGATCAGCAACTCAATCAGTTGGATTTCTCGGTGCGAGGTCAAACAAACCAACGTCATGCAAAACGAGAGGACGGTTTTCTCCCCACTGTGCTGTTTGTCTCTTATTTTCTCTGATAAAGCTGATAAATGATCAGTAGTGCTACTTCTACTGGAGGAGCTCATGCACGGGGAGGCGCCGGACGACCGCCTCCGCCTCTTGGTTAGGTTCTTAGAGTCTTTTTGGTTGGGGGAGGCTGGAGTGGAGGATGCTGGGAGAGTTTATGATACAAAATATGTTACAGAGTCTACGTTCCCCCGTCTCACACCTCGGATCAGAACCAGGAAACGACCATACAGAGGCTCCAGCTGAGTTCACAGGAGGTCAGCGGCGTGCACAAGGCCAGTGGTGTGCGTGAGTGTGCACTGGGCTGATGGCATGCACTAGAGATACAAACTACTGGACAATCATCATAAACGTCCATATTTGTCTCCTAGAATTTAAGCTTTGCTGGGAGAGTTTATGTTTGTTTTTATTGTTTTGGTGGAATTTCCAAAGACAGGATTCACAAAAGCAGCTAACAGAAGCTGCAGAGTGGATCCAGTCCTGTTCGGATTCAACGTCCAACACTCGAGACACAGTCGAAGCTCTGGTGGGAGATTCATCCATCGGGCATTCCCAGAAGTTAAAGAGGCGGGTACTCTGAGCTGCTGTGTGGTCCGTTCCCCAACCTGGAGGCACAGGGAAGTTTCACTCTCATCCCCCCGGATGAATCCCAACACACACGCAGAGCTCTGTGTTCTTATTAGTAAAGATCTGCCCTCGTAATCGGCTCTTCCTGAGTGGGAACACCGAGACAGATAACAGATCTATAGCCGCTTTAGACTGAAGGAAACTTTTGCAGCTTTTTGTTGTTGAAGTTTGTTTTTAGAACTAAATACTAAAGCCTGATGTATACTTCTCTACAATGGAGAGACACACGGAGTGTCGGAAAGGTTTTCACATGGGAACAGAGGGCGTAGCGGTTTTCTGAGGTTTCCTGCCACCATAACACTTGTGTATTCGGTCCCTGATGGTGTATTTACTAATGTGTTTTTAGATTTCAGAGACTTTATAACACGGATAAATTTGCTCTTTATTCTCCTTCACCTCAGTGGCCAGCTCTAAACCCACGTTTACCGCCATTTCCCTCCACTTTTGCTCCATATTGTGTACTCCTTCAGTCACGGGTGAAGAAACGTTGATGTTTTCAGACTTTTTCTACGATGCGTTCTTCAATCAGTTCTGGGTCTGCCGCTAAATATCTTTTTCGGCGGTGCTAGTGACCAATTTTCAGGAAGCGGTCTCCTGACCAATTACAAGCTTGTCATCTCCATCACTTTCGACAAATGTTTAAAATTTTGGGCGTGTCTTCGTCACCCTCTGTGAGCCCGTCGGAGAGCCCTGCAACCGACGCATAATGGCGTTGCGTGTCTCCGCATCAAGCCCCAACAACGGAGCTCTAAAATTGAGTCAAACCCGGAAATACCAAAAATTGCAGTTCCACCCTCGTCCACTAGGGGCTGGTGTCAGAAGCGAGCAAATCCTCATTGACTCCCATGTTAAAAATACCAATTTCACAGCAGAAATAAACATGTTTACAGCCTGGTACCAAAACATGTTTTTGGTTTAAATGATCTAGTTTACACTCATGACAACTCTGAGGGGGGTGAATGTTTTTCTCACTCTTCTGTTTAAGTGTATTAAAAGCCTAAAATTCTGTATAATTAATGAGCATCAGACCCACGTGACCACAGAGCTAGCTCCGTGGAAAGGCCTCAGTAGAGCCTCGGTCTGGCCTGGAAACTGTTCCGGGATTTTGAGTCTCTGTGTTTGTGTAATCTTGTTTGGATATTATTTGTGCAATAGTTGGACAAAATGACTTGCTGTGGCATTAATTGCACTAATAGAGCGTCCAAGGAGTCTCCACTTCATTTTCTTCGGTAAGTAAAATTATATTTATGTATTTTAGGTCACTGCCGAGCTGAGCTTAGATTTTAACATGTACTGTTTAACCATGACATTTAAATGTAATAGGGTAAAACCCAGTGCATTTAACATAATGCTGCACTTTAGAAAATGGGTTGAAATATAACATGTTGGTGGAGCTGGGTTCCCACTATCGGCTTGTGGAGCTCTCGGGAGACCTCTGTGTTCCACCCGGTTTTACCCAGCGGTCAGCCCGGCGTATCTCTGACTCAGAAGCTCTGGTGTTGTGCACAGTTAACTCCGGTTGTAGCTAGGCTGCTACCTCTGTTAGCTTAGCTCCCACCTCCGCGTTAGCTTCGTGTTAGCCAGGGTTAGCTTCAGGTTAGCTTGTAGCTAGTTCGACCGGGTGTCGTCAGTTGATCCCAGCCTTACAGCCCCACCCTCAGCTCCTCCTCTCTTCCCTTTTGTGGAATTGTCTGGGCTTGACGGAACCTGTGACACGGTCAAAATGGCGGTGGTGGCCACCTCCCATTTGGCCTCAAAAACGTGATATTGGAGCCTATGGAAAGGAGATGTCCAGTATATTTATGTCGATGCTCCACACCGACACAGACGGAGAAGTATAAATCAGGCTTAAGGGGATGGTTCTCTGTCCAAAAGTGGCTAATTATGCTACCTGAAAAAAGTTCCTGGACGGTAAGACACGGGGTGTTTCTCAATGTCAAGGCACCTGGCCTTGCGAGGCCAGGTGCCTTACTTACGAGGACATTGTCCTTCCTTGGTCAAAGAAAACGGATAAATGGAACAGACTTGCATCACGTGGCCGCGGCTTCCACGGTGGTCACGTAACGTCAAGTGACACGGGAGATAACGTTGTATTTTATACGCATTAGTTTCAATATAAATATATAACGAGACTTTTACTTTTAAAATTGTGTTTATGTTTGTTAAATTAAATATGTAAGTGAGTTACTACCCGTAAGCCACCGAAGCTGCAACTACTAAGCAACTAACCAACCATAGATAGCTTCTTTGGATCTAAAAAAAAAAAACATTTTTAAATTAGCTGACTTACTTTTAATCTTGAAATTTATCTCTGAAGTAGCCGCCGGTTTCTGATCTGCCGTCTTTTTGAAAATACCGCGGTGCATTCTGGGTAATGTTTGACCAAGGCTAGGCTACAAGACACCTCCCGTGTATCCTTGCTTAGCTAGCTAAACGGCTAATCAACGGTGAACACACGCCTCGGTGGAGCATGAACATTGGAACCGAATGGAACACATCTCGGCAGCTCCCGATGACGTATCTCCTAGACAACCGGGGCGGGGCCAAGACATCAAGGCAAGGTTCCTTGGCTTTGAGAAACACCCCCTTTCTAGAGCATCAGGAACTTTTGGTGTCAGCCATGTTGTTTCAGCTGACCAGTCATGATCAGAACCACAGGTACACTCAGAGCTAGAGGTCGATGAAAGATGTTTGAGTCCAAAGTGCACGTCATCAGGCCAGATCACGCTCATGCCACAGATCGGGTCTAAATAGGTTTCAGAACATTTAGTGTCTCTATGGAAACCACACAGAACAAATGGATTCTGGGTCATTTTACAGTTGCTTCCTGCTCGTTGTAACATTGCATATGTTGAGGAGTAAAAGGCTCTCGGTTCTGGTTCTGGGTCATAGAAGCTACAGTCAAGCTGTTCATCAGGGACCCGTCTGGTTCTGTGTTCAACGGGTCCATTTCAAAGATCCGGTGATGCACAGCTCAGACGTCCCAGCTCAGTTCTGGTAGATTCACCTGTAATAGCAGCATTATGGTCCTTTAAGTTCTTCAACCTGAGAATTCTCACCAACAGCCTAAACTGGACCACAGTCCAGAACCGAAGGTTTCTGGGCCTCAGGGATAAATCTAAATGGGACAAACCTTTACAGGAAGGAGTCTTCTCCTTCCAACTCTCCGTTATCCTCAATGAAGAGTTCCATTAAGAGCAAAAAGATCTGAAAGAACTATAACTGTTGGTTCTCAGATCTGGGGAAGGTTCTGTTCCATCAACACCCCAGGATGGACCTGCTTATGCTCTGTGCAGTGAGATGGGTAGATATCCGATTGGTACCAGGTTGGTAAAGCGTTTAGGAGGGTGGGAATTCTCCTGATGGTGGCCCATTGGGACCAATGAGAAGATTCAAAGGCAGTCCACAGAAGTCTATGGGTCCATCTGGGTAGTCCTAGTGTTCAAAACCAGGGCCAGCTGGGGCCCAGATCCAGAACCGGGTTCAGAAGGGGATCAGGTCCGGAAGGGCCCAAAGAAAAGGATCTGAGGTCAAAGGTTATAAAGAGGAGATTTTGACAGTTTCATGGGTGAAGGCGGTGGCCCGGGTGTTGCGTAGAATACCGGGGGCGGGAGAGGGTGGGGGGCTGTCATCCGGAGTGTTGGCGGGCGGAGTGGGAATGCTGATTATGGCAGCCGTGAAATCCTGATCCCCGCAGTTCAGCTTCAGGTCTCTAGGCTGAGCGTTCAGACTGGAGCGACTGGAACAGACACAAAGACAGAAACAATCAATCACAGATGTCAGAGAGCTGCAAGGCTGAATATTCAAAAGAGATAAATGGTTCACAGACTAGCTTCTGGTGCTAAACTGCTGGTAAACACAACCCCAACCCCAGAAATGTGACTTCTACCCGCATCTGTTCGTTAACTCTAATTAGCATGTAAGAATTACAGCAGCAGCCGTTAGCGAGTTAGCTAACATTATCTCCAGATTAGCCTTACTTCTGCGGCGGGATGGAGGTGGTCTTCACTTGTAGGGTGTCCAGCTCCTGAACGCTGCCTCGGCTGACCGACACTGTGGAGTTAGCCAATCGCATAGCAGCTCTTCTTCTGGCCCGGCGGGGGCAACAGCCAGTGGAGTTGTTCTGGGCCCCCTGCTGGCTGGACAGGGAGGTGCTGCGACTGGTTCTGAAGCCAACAGACTCGGTCATACAGAGCTCGCTGTAGGTCAGCTCATCCGTGAACTCGTGGTTCTGTGGTGAGATGGAGGAGGAAGAAAGAGGAGAAAACATCAGGTTCTCGGTTGTCCTGGCCTTAGCGATCCCAGTACACGCTTTGGAGTCCTCCGGCCCTGACAGGCGCTAAACAGGTGTGGGTCATTCATCACAGTGATGGCTTGGTTCTCAGAACAGAAGGAGAATGCTCTTCACGTGAGGAGAACCGGCCTTAGAAACCAAGGAAAGCTAGGCTGATTTAGTTTCAAACATTTCCAGACTTCAGACGCGAGGAGTTATGAACTCTGACAGATTCACATGGAGGAGTGTGTTAGAGGAAAACAGGAGCTAGCTCACCGTCGTCTTCTCCAGGCAGTGCAGCAGGTGATGGTGTTGGTGCTCAAAGGCTGAGCGGTTCTTCACACACAGAGCCGTGCTGTCGCTGTCCCGGTCCTGGAAAACCCAAACACACGTATTATTCTGGAGACTCCTGCAGGAGAACGTTCAGGTGGGCGCTAATCTGGGTCCAGGGCACAGGGGCAGCAGCTCGTAGCCCGGCCTGCCAACTCCAGGGCTTCCCATGAGGCTGGCTGGTGTGTGTGTGTGTGTGTGTGTGTGTGTGTCTCACTCCAAGCTGCTGGTCTTCTTTATACTGGAGGAAGGCATTGGTTGTTCCTTTCTTTGCCATCCGGATCCGAGCCAAACGGACTTTCTACTCAACAAGAACACAGGAAGCAGAGGCATCAGCACACACACACACACGCACACACACACACACACACACACACACACTGATCTGACTGGATGATGGATCCTGTCAGGATCAGACCAATCGGACCTGTTGTGCTCTCATCTTGTCCGCTCTCTGGTTCTGGTGGTAGATCCGGCTGAAGTTGGACACGATGACAGGAACCGGCAGGGCGATCACCAGGACGCCGCTGAGAGAGCAGATGGAGCCAAAGATCTTCCCTGCGATGGTGTTTGGAACCATGTCTCCATACCTGCAGGAGATAAGATGACTTTAGGAACCAGAGTGGTGAAGCGGGTCAGGATCACAGCTCGAATATCCCAGGATCCTCTCCGCCTGCCCAGGCGAGCGTTTCAGGTGAGTGAAAGCCCCGCCCCCAGTCGTGTCATTGATTTAAATAGTTAATGATGTAACAGATATTATAAAGATGCGTGACAGGAAATTCATCTGTGAGGTCATCATGACCCGTTGAGACGATAAAAAGATGTGCTAGAAACTAAAGACATGTTTGGTACCAGCTGGACCGGTTCTGGTTCTGACTGAACTGCACTTTGAATCCAGGTTTTTAAACTGCTGATGAACTTCCCGTAGATGTTCTGAACTCTTCGCCATCGCACGCCGACTCCGGCCGGCACCAGAATCTATTTTATTTTTTGACAGTGCAGAACTTTTCCCTCTGCTGCGGGTCGCAGAAAGTCCGACCCGGAGAAACTTGAAAAGGCCAGGAGCTGTTTTCAGCTCCGCTTTTGTTGGCTGCAGATTGCTACCTGGGAGGTTCTCCTGTCGGTTCCTGCGGTCCGTGGGAGTTCTGACTCAGTTCGAGTCCGATTGTGGGTCTCAGATCAGTTTGATACCCGCTCCGCCGGCCGGAGCTGAGGGGGAGGCTGCTGTTTGGGATGAAATCGATGGAGAGCAGAAAGAAAGTGGAGTGATCTGTAGCTTCAGTCTGCAGCCAAGCAGCAGGGATAAATGTGGACCGGATCAGAACCAGATCTGGACCTCTCAGGTGTTACATCACCCAGACTGCATCACTGAAGACAGACGTGCAGATTTCTTAGTCCTGATAAATTTCCTCTAACTCAGGGATTTTGTGTTTTTATGGTGAATAATCAGCTTCTATCCAACAGGTTGCTTAGCAACAACAGCGGCATCTTCCACCATCAAGTCGATTAAATGTTAATTTCTAATGTAATAAAACAACAAAACATTATAATTGTTGTTCTGTAACCCCGGGTTGCAGGTTCAACACCCAACTGTGGCCTTGTGTGGAGTGAAGGTGTTCTCGTCATGCATACCTCAGCTTTCTTTGGTCTCCTTCTACAAGTGCGCGCGTGTGTGTGTGTGTGTGTGTGTGTGTGTGTGTGTGTGTTTCCCTGTCATGTGCTGGTCACCTGTCCAGGTCAGGTGTGACCCTCCCTCTTGACCACTGGAACCCAAAACCTTCAGAGGACATAACCTCGGTCCAGATCATACGATCGACTAGAAGAACCTCTGATGACCCGAGTTTTACCTTCAACAGTTTTTCTTCTCAACAAAACGGACTGAATGTGAATCTACTGTCACAAAACAAAGGGATCAGAACTGCATCCTGCTATCTCCTAATCCCTGAGTCCTAATCCCTGAGTCCTAAATTCTGAGTCTTAATCCCCGAGTCCTAATCCAGGAATCCTAAATCCAGAGTCCTAATCCCAGAGTCCTAATCCCTGAGTCCTAAATCCTGAGTCCTAATCTCTGAGTCCTAATCCCTGAGTGCTAATCCCCGAATCCTAAATTCGGAGTTCTAAATCCTGAGTCCTAAATCCTGAGTCCTAATCTCTGTGTCCTAATCCCTGAGTCCTAATCTCTGAGTCCTAAATCCTGAGTCCTAATCTCTGTGTCCTAATCCCTGAGTCACAATCCCTGAGTCCTAATCTCCCAGTCCTAAATCCTGAGTCCTAATCCCTGAGTCCTAAATCCTGAGTCCTAAATCCTGAGTCCTAATCTCTGAGTCCTAATCCTTGAGTCCAAAATCCTGAGTCTTAATCCCCAAGTCCTAAATCCTGAGTCCTAAATCCTGAGTCCTAATCTCTGAGTCCTAATCCTTGAGTCCAAAATCCTGAGTCTTAATCCCCAAGTCCTAAATTCTCAACCCTAATCCCTGAGTCCTCCTGAGACCTAATCCATGAGCCCTTACCCATAACCCAAATTATCTGACAGTTCTGAGGGTTCAGCTGGAGCAACCAGCAGAGGTCAGTAAGACAAAACCTTTCTGGTCAGAGTTCCTGCTTTAGGTGTGTGTGTGTGTGTGTGTGTGTGTGTGTGTGTGTGTGTGTGTGTGTGTGTGTGTGTTTTAATGCTCAGTAATGGATGGCAGCATTAGAGGCTTGTAGCTGGTTAGTGGAGGGAGACATTAGAACATTTATATTGTCTTTCTCCTCATCACTTCCTCTCTCACTCCATACATTTACTTTATTTCTTTCCACTCTTGTGGCCTCTCCACCCTCTGTCCATCTCTATCCCATCTCCCGTTTCCTCCCCCTCCCCTCCTATCTTTCTCCAGTAGATTATCTGCAGCTGCTGGAGCCAAGTCTCCGTCCTGAAGCAGGAGGAGGAGCCATTGATGCTTGACGAACAACCAGGGGAGGGACTCGTGAGGAAGGACGGGTGAGGAAGGGCGGAGGAAAGAGGAGAAGGAGAAGAGGTCAGAAGGGACAGAATGTGAGAAAAAGGAATTAAAGCTCTGATGCGTGTCTATAAACGTCCAGAGTCTCCTTATCGATCCAGATCTTTATTTAGATTTTTTGCCTGAAGATGATCTAAAAGCTTCTATAAATAAAACAATTATTGGATTTTCTATGAGGCATTCAGCTGGAATCTACCTGCAGCTGGAATCCGTCTGCAGCTGGATCCTGTAGCTGGATCCTGTCTGCAGCTGGAATCCACCTGCAGCTGGATCACGTCTGCAGCTGGAATCTACCTGCAGGAATCTACCTGCAGGAATCTACCTGCAGCTGGAATCCATCTACAGCTGGATCCCGTCTGCAGCTGGATCCTGTCTGCAGCTGGAATCTGTCTGAAGCTGGAATCCACCTGCAGCTGGATCACGTCTGCAGCTGGAATCTACCTGCAGGAATCTACCTGCAGCTGGAATCCATCTGCAGCTGGATCCTGTCTGCAGCTGGAATCTGTCTGAAGCTGGATCCGTCTACAGCTGGAATCTGTCTGAAGCTGGATCCGTCTACAGCTGGATCCTGTCTGCAGCTGGATCCTGTCTGCAGCTGGAATCCGTCTACAGCTGGAATCCATCTGCAGCTGGATCACGTCTGCAGCTGGAATCTACCTGCAGGAATCTACCTGCAGGAATCTACCTGCAGCTGGAATCCATCTGCAGCTGGATCCTGTCTGCAGCTGGAATCTGTCTGAAGCTGGATCCGTCTACAGCTGGAATCTGTCTGAAGCTGGATCCGTCTACAGCTGGATCCTGTCTGCAGCTGGATCCTGTCTGCAGCTGGAATCCGTCTACAGCTGGAATCCATCTACAGCTGGATCCTGTCTGCAGCTGGAATCTACCTGCAGGAATCTACCTGCAGCTGGAATCCATCTACAGCTGGATCCCGTCTGCAGCTGGATCCTGTCTGCAGCTGGAATCTGTCTGAAGCTGGATCCGTCTACAGCTGGAATCTGTCTGAAGCTGGATCCGTCTACAGCTGGATCCTGTCTGCAGCTGGATCCTGTCTGCAGCTGGAATCCGTCTACAGCTGGAATCCATCTACAGCTGGATCCTGTCTGCAGCTGGAATCTACCTGCAGCTGGAATCCATCTACAGCTGGATCCCGTCTGCAGCTGGATCCCATCTGCAGCTGGATCCTGTCTGCAGCTGGATCCTGTCTGCAGCTGGATCCTGTCTGCAGCTGGAATCTGTCTGAAGCTGGATCCGTCTACAGCTGGAATCTGTCTACAGCTGGAATCTGTCTACAGCTGGAATCTGTCTACAGCTGGAATCTGTCTACAGCTGGATCCTGTCTGCAGCTGGATCCTGTCTGCAGCTGGATCCTGTCTGCAGCTGGAATCCGTCCACAGCCGGCGTTCTCGCACGTCTCAAAGTCTTTCTCTACTTCCAACCTTAAATCCCTTTCTTTAAAGTCCTGAACCAGACTGGTGCTGAATCCTGCATTCTCATGATAAAACTTCAGACTTGCTGACCCAGCAGCCTCTGAGCAAGGCAGCGAGTCAAATACCAGTAAAAACAAAGGTTTTACAGAATGAGGAAAGCCTCCCGAGACTCCGGCCAGCCTGTTCACTCAGAACCCTAAATATTTCATCATCAGGGTTATGTCATCCAGCCGAGGCACCAAGTACCAGAAGCAAGCTGCACAAACGAAAAACAGAATCAAAGCCACAGAAAATGAAGCCAACGAGAACTTCAGGCAGGAATTCTCAGGAATTCATGGTGTGATCGAGCAGATTCCCTGAAGGAGTCTGAGAAGAGGCCGTTGCTGATTGGAACAGATGGGAATCGATTGATGCTGAGTCAGCCTGATCCAAATCTCCACCTGTAATGGAGAACCGGCCAATCACAATCTAATAGAGACACAGTCAGCCAATAGAAATTAGTTTAGAGGGGAGAGCAGAAAGGTCAATTAAAGTGAGTTCTGTCGGATCGGAACCACTAGACAAAGACCATAAAAACATCAGGAACGTTGAGTTTCTAAATAAACTAAAAGAACTTCATGTTTGGTTGATTATTTCCTGGTTGTAACAAAAAAACAGCTGATTATTATGGAGCCACTTCTGCTGGAGCATCCATGAAAGGATCGAGCTGCAGAGCGGAGCCTCCAGTCAGCTGATCCTGGTGTCCACTAGAGTCTCCTGATTGGATGAAACGACATGTCCACAGCAGCTGGACTGTTGGGTCAAAGTGTGCTGGTGACCAGTAGAAGGAGGAGGAGCCAGATGGGTGACCAGGAGGAGGGGGAGGAGCCAGCCTGATGACCAGTAGGAGGAGGAGGACCCAGATGGGTGACCAGGAGGAGGAGGAGGAGCCAGATGGGTGACCAGGAGGAGGGGGAGGAGCCAGCCTGATGACCAGTAGGATGAGGAGGAGCTAGATGGGTGACCGGGAGGAGGAGCCAGACTGATGACCAGTAGGATGAGGGGGAGCCAGATGGGTGACCAGGAGGAGGAGCCAGACTGATGACCAGTAGGATGAGGAGGAGCTAGATGGGTGACCGGGAGGAGGAGCCAGACTGATGACCAGTAGGATGAGGGGGACCC